GCAATGGGCTAGTAACCCCTTCTCCTGTATACAATTACTAAAAAAGAGAAGAAGAAAAACTTTATAAAACGGGGTTGCTTAAATGTGCGTGGATGTAGTGCGGATGACAAGAAACAGATGATTGCTGATGTTATGAATGAAAAGAAGTTGGATGTCCTGGCCCTAAGCGAAACAAAGCTGAAGGGGGTAGGAGAGTTTCAGTGGGGGAAATAAATGGGATTAAATTGGAGTATCTGAGAGAGTTAGAGCAAAGGAAGGGGTAGCAGTAATGTTAAATGATCAGTTATGGAAGGAGAAAAGAGAATATGAATGTGTAAATTCAAGAATTATGTGGATTAAAGTAAAGGTTGGATGCGAGAAGTGGGTCATAATAAGCGTGTATGCACCTGGAGAAGAGAGGAATGCAGAGGAGAGAGAGAGATTTTGGGAGATGTTAAGTGAATGTATAGGAGCCTTTGAACCAAGTGAGAGAGTAATTGTGGTAGGGGACTTGAATGCTAAAGTAGGAGAAACTTTTAGAGAGGGTGTGGTAGGTAAGTTTGGGTGTGTCCAGGTGTAAATGATAATGGGAGCCCTTTGATTGAACTTTGTATAGAAAGGGGTTTAGTTTATAGGTAATACATATTTAAGAAAAAGAGGATAAATAAGTATACACGTATGATGTAGGGCGAAATGACAGTAGTTTGTTGGATTATGTATTGGTAGATAAAAGACTGTTGAGTAGACTTCAGGATGTACATTGTTTATAGAGGGGCCACAGATATATCAGATCACTTTCTAGTTGTAGCTATACTGAGAGTAAAAGGTAGATGGGATACAAGGAGAATAGAAGCATCAGGGAAGAGAGAGGTGAAGGTTTATAAACTAAAAGAGGAGGCAGTTAGGGTAAGATATAAACAGCTATTGGAGGATAGATGGGGTAATGAGAGCATAGGCAATGGGTCGAAGAGGTATGGGGTAGGTTTAAAAATGTAGTGTTAGAGTGTTCAGCAGAAGTTTGTGGTTACAGGAAAGTGGGTGCAGGAGGGAAGAGGAGCGATTGGTGGAATGATGATGTAAAGAGAGTAGTAAGGGAGAAAAAGTTTAGCATATGAGAAGTTTTTACAAAGTAGAAGTGATGCAAGGAGGGAAGAGTATATGGAGAAAAAGAGAGAAGTTAAGAGAGTGGTGAAGCAATGTAAAAAGAGAGCAAATGAGAGAGTGGGTGAGATGTTATCAACAAATTTTGTTGAAAATAAGAAAAAGTTTTGGAGTGAGATTAACAAGTTAAGAAAGCCTAGAGAACAAATGGATTTGTCAGTTAAAAATAGGAGAGGAGAGTTATTAAATGGAGAGTTAGAGGTATTGGGAAGATGGAAGGAATATTTTGAGGAATTGTTAAATGTTGATGAAGATAGGGAAGCTGTGATTTCGTGTATAGGGCAAGGAGGAATAACATCTTGTAGGAGTGAGGAAGAGCCAGTTGTGAGTGTGGGGAAGTTCGTGAGGCAGTAGGTAAAATGAAAGGGGGTAAGGCAGCCGGGGTTGATGGGATAAAGATAGAAAAGTTAAAAGCAGGTGGGGATATAGTTTTGGAGTGGTTGGTGCAATTATTTAATAAATGTATGGAAGAGGGTAAGGTACCTGGGATTGGCAGAGAGCATGCATAGTTCCTTTGTATAAAGGCAAAGGGGATAAAAGAGAGTGCAAAAATTATAGGGGGATAAGTCTGTTGAGTGTACCTGGTAAAGTGTATGGTAGAGTTATAATTGAAAGAATTAAGAGTAAGACGGAGAATAGGATAGCAGATGAACAAGGAGGCTTTAGGAAAGGTAGGGGGTGGTGTGGACCAGGTGTTTACAGTGAAACATATAAGTGAACAGTATTTAGATAAGGCTAAAGAGGTCTTTGTGGCATTTATGGATTTGGAAAAGGCGTATGACAGGGTGGATAGGGGGGCAATGTGGCAGATGTTGCAAGTGTATGGTGTAGGAGGTAGGTTACTGAAAGCAGTGAAGAGTTTTTACGAGGATAGTGAGGCTCAAGTTAGAGTATGTAGGAAAGAGGGAAATTTTTTCCCAGTAAAAGTAGGCCTTAGACAAGGATGTGTGATGTCACCGTGGTTGTTTAATATATTTATAGATGGGGTTGTAAGAGAAGTAAATGCGAGGGTTTTGGCAAGAGGCGTGGAGTTAAAAGATAAAGAATCACACACAAAGTGGGAGTTGTCACAGCTGCTCTTTGCTGATGACACTGTGCTCTTGGGAGATTCTGAAGAGAAGTTGCAGAGATTGGTGGATGAATTTGGTAGGGTGTGCAAAAGAAGAAAATTAAAGGTGAATACAGGAAAGAGTAAGGTTATGAGGATAACAAAAAGATTAGGTGATGAAAGATTGAATATCAGATTGGAGGGAGAGAGTATGGAGGAGGTGAACGTATTCAGATATTTGGGAGTGGACGTGTCAGCGGATGGGTCTATGAAAGATGAGGTGAATCATAGAATTGATGAGGGAAAAAGAGTGAGTGGTGCACTTAGGAGTCTGTGGAAACAAAGAACTTTGTCCTTGGAGGCAAAGAGGGGAATGTATGAGAGTATAGTTTTACCAACGCTCTTATATGGGTGTGAAGCGTGGGTGATGAATGTTGCAGCGAGGAGAAGGCTGGAGGCAGTGGAGATGTCATGTCTGAGGGCAATGTGTGGTGTGAATATAATGCAGAGAATTCGTAGTTTGGAAGTTAGGAGGAGGTGCGGGATTACCAAAACTGTTGTCCAGAGGGCTGAGGAAGGGTTGTTGAGGTGGTTCGGACATGTAGAGAGAATGGAGCGAAACAGAATGACTTCAAGAGTGTATCAGTCTGTAGTGGAAGGAAGGCGGGGTAGGGGTCGGCCTAGGAAGGGTTGGAGGGAGGGGGTAAAGGAGGTTTTGTGTGCGAGGGGCTTGGACTTCCAGCAGGCATGCGTGAGCGTGTTTGATAGGAGTGAATGGAGACAAATGGTTTTTAATACTTGACGTGCTGTTGGAGTGTGAGCAAAGTAACATTTATGAAGGGATTCAGGGAAACCGGCAGGCCGGACTTGAGTCCTGGAGATGGGAAGTACAGTGCCTGCACTCTGAAGGAGGGGTGTTAATGTTGCAGTTTAAAAACTGTAGTGTAAAGCACCCTTCTGGCAAGACAGTGATGGAGTGAATGATGGTGAAAGTTTTTCTTTTTCGGGCCACCCTGCCTTGGTGGGAATCGGCCGGTGTGATAATAAAAAAAAAAATAATAATAATATAGAAAAGGGCCCCAGTTTACAATTTTGGCCATTTATTTTAGGAAAAATTTTACCATGCCTGGAGTACACCTGGAGAGGGTTTTGGGGGTCAATGCCCCTTGGCCTGGTCTGTGACCAGGCCTCATGGTGGATCATTGCCTGATCAACAAGGCTGTTACTGTTGGCTGCACACAACTCAACATGCGAACCACAGCCCGACTGGTCAGGTACTGGCTTTAGGTGCATGTCCAGCTCCTTCTTGAAGACAGCCAGGGGTTAATTGGTAATCCCCTTTATGTATGCTGGGAGGCAGTCAAACAGTCTTGGGCCCCTCACACTTATTGTGTTGTCTCTTATCATGCTAATGGTGCCCTTGCTTTTCATTGGAGGGATGTTGCATCATCTGCGGAGTCTTTTGCTTTCAAAAGAACATAAGAAAGGAGGAACACTGCAGCAGGCCTGTTGGCCCATACTAGGCAGGTCCTTTACAATCCATCCCACTAACAAAACATTTGCCCAATCAATTTTCAATGCCACCCAAGAAATAAGCTTTGTTAACCCTATCCAATCATATGCGAGTCCCACTCAAATCCAACCGCTCTCACTCATGCATTTATCCAACCTAAATTTGAAACTACCCAAGGTTTTAGCCTCAATAACCCAACTAGGTAGACTGTTCCACTCATCAACTACCCTATTTCCAAACCAATACTTTCCTATATTCTTTCTAAATCTAAACTTATCTAATTTGAATCCATTACAGTGGGTTCTCTCTTGGAGAGATATCCTCAAGACCTTATCTATATCACCTTTATTAATACCCATCTTCCACTTACACACTTCGATCATGTCTCCCCTCATTCTTCATCTAACAAGTGAATGTAATTTAAGGGTCTTCAATCTTTCTTTATAAGGAAGATTTCTAATGCTATGTATTAATTTAGTCATTCTACGCTGAATGTTTTCTAACGAATGAGTGATTTTCGTGTGCAAGTTTGGTATTAATCCCCCTTGGATTTTCCAAGTGTATATAATCATATATCTGTCCCGCCTGCATTCTAGGGAGTATAAGTTGAGGAACTTCAAGCGTTCCCAGTAATTGAGGTGTTTTATCACAGTTATGTGTGACGTGAAGGTTCTCTGTACATTTTCTAGGTCAGCAATTTCACCTGCCTTGAAAGGTGCTGTTAGTGTGCAGCAATATTCCTAGATAGAACAAGTGACCTGAAGAGTGTCATCATGGGCTTGGCATCCCTAGTTTTGAAGGTTCTCATTATCCACGAGGTTTGTTTAGTAAATGTTTACAAGTGTAGACCATTGTTGTCTTGTAGTTTGTTGGTGAGAAGGTAGTGTACTATCCTGTGTCAGTTTAGTAGTACTGTGAGTCGGGGAATGGGTAAGGAAGTTTTTAAAGTACAGGCCAGTGTGTTGATGACTAGGCCAGGTGTATGTGTGTTGTGTTGTGTGTTATGTGTTGTGTGTGTGTGTGTGTATGTGTGTGTGTGTGTGTGTGTGTGTGTGTGTGTGTGTGTGTGTGTGTGTGTGTGTGTGTGTGTGTGTGTGTGTGTGTGCATGTGCGACTGGAACAGTGTGTGTGTGCAACAGTGTATGTAACAGTGGAACAGTGTGTGTGGAACAGTGTATGGAACAATGTTATTCCACTTGCCTCACAGTTGCTACACTTCACTGTCATTTCCTTCTGCCACTATGCATATTCCACCATCCATTCCTTCTCACTAACCCTTCAGTTTTCATTCCCCTGCAGGAAATGGAGAAGAACCGGACGACAGTACAGGAACGCGACCCGTTCAACATGTCTCGGTGCCCGGCCAGTATTGACTTCGGCCAGTACGACATCCAGACCTGGTACTCCGCACCGTACCCCCAGGAATATGCACGGTGAGCTGTAACTCACCGTTCTTCTCTTGTTCTTGATGAAGAGAATGTAAGAATGGACCGAGAATAGCTCCTAGAGGATATCCATTTTTTGTATTCTTCTCTTGTTCTTTACTCAGAGAATATAACAATGCCTCCCAGAGGATATTCATTTGTTTTTATCTTGTTCTTGACTCCAAGAATGTAAGAATGGCTCCTAGAGAATATTTCATGATTGACCAAAAATGAGTCCCATTCTTGTGTTTTTCCTTATTCTTTACTCTGAGAATGCAAGAATGTCTGAGAAAATTGCAATAATGTGATAACAAACAAGCCATGTGATGGATGAGGTTTGAACTCATGGACTACCTGCAGTAGGCCTACTGACCTGTACTCTGCAGGTCCTCAAATTCAACTATTCTCTCTTATATATTTGTCCAATGTATTTTACGCAATAGGTGTGCTGGCCTGTACTGGGCAGGTGTTTCTCGAATTCAACTATTCTCTATTTGTTCAATGTATTTTATGTAGGATCACTGCTGTAGGCCTACGGTCCCATACTGGCTTGGTCCTGAAGTTGTATATTAAGTAAATTCAAGTTTTAGAAGAGCAGAGGGTGTGTTGTTTGGCACAAGAATAGCTGATGGGTTTAAGGTGATTAGTCGTAGTTGATCCCCAAGTTGACCTGTAGGGTTTATAGATCTGTAGTGGAAGGGAGGCGAGGTAGGGGTCGTCCTAGGAAAGATTGGAGGGAGGGGTAAAGGAGGTTTTGTGTGTGAGGGGCTTGGACTTCCAGCAGGTGTGTGTGTGTATTAGGAGTGAGTGGAGACATATGGTGTTTATGACTTGATGTGCTGTTGGAGTGTGAGCAAGGTAACATGAAGAGATTCAAGGAAACTGGTTAGCTGGACTTGAGTCCTGGAGGTGAGAAGTACAGTGTCTTCACTCTGAAGGATGAGTGAAGATGTTGCTGTTTTTGAATTGTTGTATCAGCACATCTCTGGCAAGACGGTGATAGAGTGAGTGATGATAAAAGTGTTTCTTCTTTTTTGGGTCACCTGCCTTGGTGGGAAACAACCAATGTGTTAATAATAATAAAAAAAAATAAGTACTGTCATCTGCAAATTGCAAAGGTTTAAGGAGACTAGAAACATGGAGGAGATCATTGATGTAAACAAGGAGGAGCAGAGGGCCCAGGACACTGCCTTGTGGCACTCCTGTGTTTACAAACTGAGGGCCCAGGACACTGCCTTGTGGCACTCCTGTGTTTATAAACCGAGGGCCCAGGACACTGCCTTGTGGCACTCCTGTGTTTATAAACTGAGGGCCCAGGACACTGCCTTGTGGCACTCCTGTGTTTACAAACTGAGGGCCCAGGACACTGCCTTGTGGCACTCCTGTGTTTTAAAACTGAGGGCCCAGGACACTGCCTTGGGGCACTCCTGTGTTTACAAACTGAGGGCCCAGGACACTGCCTTGTGGCACTCCTGTGTTTACAAACTGAGGGCCCAGGACACTGCCTTGTGGCACTCCTGTGTTTACAAAACTGAGGGCCCAGGACACTGCCTTGTGGCACTCCTGTGTTTACAAACTGAGGGCCCAGGACACTGCTTGTGGCACTCCTGTGTTTACAAACTGAGGGCCCAGGACACTGCCTTGTGGCACTCCTGTGTTTACAAACTGAGGGCCCAGGACACTGCCTTGTGGCACTCCTGTGTTTACAAACTGAGGGCCCAGGACACTGCCTTGTGGCACTCCTGTGTTTGCAAACTGAGGGCCCAGGACACTGCCTTGGGGCACTCCTGTGTTTACAAACTGAGGGCCCAGGACACTGCCTTGGGGCACTCCTGTGTTTGCAAACTGAGGGCCCAGGACACTGCCTTGTGGCACTCCTGTGTTTGCAAACTGAGGGCCCAGGACACTGCCTTGTGCACTCCTGTGTTTACAAACTGAGGGCCCAGGACACTGCCTTGTGGCACTCCTGTGTTTACAAACTGAGGGCCCAGGACACTGCCTTGTGGCACTCCTGTGTTTACAAACTGAGGGCCCAGGACACTGCCTTGTGGCACTCCTGTGTTTACAAACTGAGGACCCAGGACACTGCCTTGCAGCACTCCTGTGTTTGCAAACTGAGGGCCCAGGACACTGCCTTGGGGCACTCCTGTGCTTACAAACTGAGGGCCCAGGACACTGCTTTGTGGCACTCCTGTGTTTAGAAACTGAGGGCCCAGGACACTGCCTTGGGGAACTCCTGTGTTTACAAACTGAGGGCCCAGGACACTGCCTTGTGGCACTCCTGTGTTTACAAACTGAGGGCCCAGGACACTGCCTTGTGGCACTCCTGTGTTTGCAAACTGAGGGCCCAGGACACTGCCTTGTGGCACTCCTGTGTTTACAAACTGAGGGCCCAGGACACTGCCTTGTGGCACTCCTGTGTTTGCAAACTGAGGGCCCAGGACACTGCCTTGTGGCACTCCTGTGTTTGCAAACTGAGGGCCCAGGACACTGCCTTGTGGCACTCCTGTGTTTACAAACTGAAGGGCCCAGGACACTGCCTTGTGGCACTCCTGTGTTTGCAAACTGAGGGCCCAGGACACTGCCTTGTGGCACTCCTGTGTTTGCAAACTGAGGGCCCAGGACACTGCCTTGGGGCACTCCTGTGTTTACAAACTGAGGGCCCAGGACACTGCCTTGTGGCACTCCTGTGTTTAGAAACTGAGGGCCCAGGACACTGCCTTGGGGCACTCCTGTGTTTACAAACTGAGTAGTTGATGGATGAAAAGACCATAGATTAACCCTTTGACTGTTTCTGACATATATATACGTCTTATGAGCCAGTGTTTTTGACGCATTTATATGCCAAAATTCTAGCGGCTTCAGATCAAGCGAGAGAAAGCTGATAGGCCCACATGTGAGAGAATGGGTCTGTGTGGTCAGTGTGCACAGTATAAAAACTCCTGCTGCAAGCAGTGCATAATGAGAAAAAAAACTCCGACCATGTTTTTGGATTAAAACGCCGACTTTGAGGTGTATTTTTGTATAGTATTTATGGTTGTATTCTCATTTTCTTGGTCTCATTTGATAGAATGGAAGACATGTTACAGAAATAGAGATAATTTTGATTGGTTTCACGATGAAAAGGACTTTGAAATTGAGCTCAAATTAGCAGAAATGTTCGATTTTTGCCAATGTTGAAGAGTAAACAAATGACATCATTGTCCAATAAGTGTCCAACTAACCATTCTTATACGCAGTCACAAATGGGTTGACATTATTTATACAATTATTACAGTAATGCAGTAGTCTGCATAACAGTAAATCTTGTTTTTTTTGTTTTTTTTATCACACTGGCCGATTCCCACCAAGGCAGGGTGGCCCGAAAAAGAAAAACTTTCACCATCATTCACTCCATCACTGTCTTGCCAGAAGGGCGCTTTACACTACAGTTTTTAAACTGCAGCATTAACCCCTTCAGGGTCCAAGGCCCAAATCTGAAGTGGTGCCCCAGTGTCCAAGAATTTTCAAAAAAAAAAATTATTTTTTCTTATGAAATGGTAGAGAATCTTTTTGTGAAGGTAATAAAACAAAAAGTACGAAATTTTATGGAAAATTGACGAAATTATGCTCTCGCGAATTTTGATGTGTCAGCGATATTTACGAATCGGCGATTTTGCTGACTTTGACTCCCGTTTTAGGCCAATTACATTATTCCAGTCAACCAAATTCTTAGCTATTTCACTAGTATTACTTCTATTCTATCGACTGAGCACAAGAAATCGCCAAGTCAACTGTTTCAACTACAAATTAAAGTGATCGGAAATTGTTAATTTGGCCAATTTAACACAAAGTTCAAAATATTCCAATTTCAAAATAGGGTCCAGAATAAACAATGTAGGTATTCCTGGAACTAAACTAACATTTCCTCTGTTCATTAGTTACGTTTTGAGGCTTTACAAATAAATTCCATTTTGATTTTTTATTCACATAATGAATTTTTATTCACACCAAAAAACAGAAGATTTACTGTTATGCAATACTGTAATAATTGTATAAATATCATCACCATATTTGTGAATGCATATTAGACCCACCAGCTGATGTGTATTAGAAATGTGAGGTCTTTTGTTTACTCTTGAATATCGGCAAAAATTTAACATTTCTGCTACTTTGAGCTCAGTTTCAAGCCATTTCCAGTACTAAAACCAATGAAAATCATCTCTATTTCTGTAATATGTCTTCCATTCTATCAAATGAGACCAAGAAATCGCAAATAGAACTATAAAAAACATAAAAAACACTGCAAAGTCGCTGTTTTAATCGAAAAATCATGATTTCAGTTTTCTCTCATTATACACAGCATGCTGCGGGATCTGTTTTATGGGGTGCACACATACCACATAGATGTATTCTCTCATATCTAGGCCCAAATGTACCACTCACAGTTTATCAGAGTGAGCTGAGCTCATGACGTAGATCTACAGTTTGGACCCTGAACGTAAAGCCATAGATCTACGGGACGGTCCCTCAAAGGGTTAACACCCCTCCTTCAGAGTGCAGGCACTGTACTTCCCATCTCCAGGACTCAAGTCCGGCCTGCCGGTTTCCCTGAACCCCTTCATAAATGTTACTTTGCATACACTCCAACAGCACGTCAAGTATTAAAAGCCATTTGTCTCCATTCACTCCTATCAAACACGCTCACGCATGCCTGCTGGAAGTCCAAGCTCCTCGCACACAAAACCTCCTTTACCCCCTCCCTCCAACCTTTCCTAGGCCGACCCCTACCCCGCCTTCCTTCCACTACAGACTGATACACTCTTGAAGTCACTCTGTTTCGCTCCATTCTCTCTACATGTTCGAACCACCTCAACAACCCTTCCTCAGCCCTCTGGACAACAGTTTTGGTAATCCTGCACCTCCTCCTAACTTCCAAACTACGAATTCTCTGCATTATATTCACACCACACATTGCCCTCAGACATGACATCTCCACTGCCTCCAGCCTTCTCCTTGCTGCAACATTCATCACCCATGCTTCACACCCATATAAGAGCGTTGGTAAAAACTATACTCTCATACATTCCCTTTTTGCCTCCAAGGACAAATGTTCTTTGTCTCCACAGACTCCTAAGTGCACCACTCACCCTTTTCCCCTCATCAATTGTATGATTCACCTCATCTTTCATAGACCCATCCGCTGACACGTCCACTCCAAATATCTGAATACATTCACCTCCTCCATACTCTCTCTCTCCAATCTGATATCCAATCTTTTCATCACCTAATCTTTTTGTTATCCTCATAACCTTACTCTTTCCTGTATTCACTTTTAATTTTCTTCTTTTGCACACCCTACCAAATTCATCCACCAATCTCTGCAACTTCTCTTCAGAATCTCCCAAGAGCACAGTGTCATCAGCAAAGAGCAACTGTGACAACTCCCACTTTATGTGTGATTCTTTATCTTTTAACTCCACGCCTCTTGCCAAGACCCTCGCATTTACTTCTCTTACAACCCCATCTATAAATATATTAAAACAACCACGGTGACATCACACATCCTTGTCTAAGGCCTACTTTTACTGGGAAATAATTTCCCTCTTTCCTACATACTCTAACTTGAGCCTCACTGTCCTCGTAAAAACTCTTCACTGCTTTCAGTAACCTACCTCCTACACCATACACCTGCAACATCTGCCACATTGCCCCCCTATCCACCCTGTCATACGCCTTTTCCAAATCCATAAATGACACAAAGACCTCTTTAGCCTTATCTAAATACTGTTCACTTATATGTTTCACTGTAAACACCTGGTCCACACACTCCCTACCTTTCCTAAAGCCTCCTTGTTCATCTGCTATCCTATTCTCCGTCTTACTCTTAATTCTTTCAATAATAACTTCCATAAACTTTACCAGGTATACTCAACAGACTTATCCCCCTATAATTTTTGCACTCTCTTTTGTCCCCTTTGCCTTTATACAAAGGAACTATGCATGCTCTCTTCCAATCCCTAGGTACCTTACCCCTCATCCATACATTTATTAAATAATTGCACCAACCACTCAAAACTATATCCCCACCTGCTATTAACATTTCTATCTTTATCCCATCAATCCCAGCTGCCTTACTCCCTTTCATTTTACCTACTGCCTCGCGAACTTCCCCCACACTCACAACTGGCTCTTCTGTTTTTTTTTTTTTTTTTTTTTTTCCAACAAGTCGGCCGTCTCCCACCGAGGCAGGGTGACCCAAAAAAAGAAAGAAAATCCCCAAAAAGAAAAATACTTTCATCATCATTCAACACTTTCACCACACTCGCACATTATCACTGTTTTTGCAGAGGTGCTCAGAAATACAACAGTCTAGAAGCATACACATATAAAGATACACAACATATCCCTCCAAACTGCCAATATCCCAAACCCCTCCTTTAAAGTGCAGGCATTGTACTTCCCATTTCCAGGACTCAAGTCCGACTATATGAAAACAACCGGTTTCCCTGAATCCCTTCACTAAATATTACCCTGCTCACACTCCAACAGATCGTCAGGTCCCAAGTACCATTCGTCTCCATTCACTCCTATCTAACACGCTCACGCACGCTTGCTGGAAGTCCAAAGCAAGAGTAATATCAGAGGGGCCTGGAGACATGACTGATGAACAAAGAAAATGTTATTTTAGTGCCAGGAATGTCTGCATTGTTTATTCTGGACCCTATTTTGAAATTGGCATCTTTTTTAATTTGTGTGAAATTGGCCAAATTTCCAATTTCTGACCACTTCATTGGGTAGTTGAAATCGGTAAATTGGTGGTTTCTTGTACTCAGTCGATAGAACAAATGGAGTTCTAAAGAAATAGCTATGAGTTTGGTCGACTGGAACAATGGAATTGGCCGAAAATAGGGCTCAGAGTGGGCGAAATCGCCAATTCGTATATATCGCCAAGATCGCTAACTTTGCGAGAGCATAATTCCGTAAGTTTTTGATCAAATTTCGTACTTTCGGTGTCATTACCATTGGGAAAAGATTCTCTTATCATTTCACAAGAATTTTTTTTTTTTTTTTTAAATTCTTCAACACTGAGAGCAAGTTTGTGAGCAGGGATCTTGACAGTTAAAGGGTTAAGAGAAGCTCAAAAAGGTGAATAAAAGGTATGGAGGTGTTCATAGATTAAGGTTCAATTATTTTGAGCATAGGAGATTGAAATAGAGGATAAGGATAGTCAGATGTTGAAGTATAAAGTCACTAAAAAAGATACGAGTAAAATGAGGAGAGTAAAGATGAACAAAGATGTGGGCAGCACAATGCCTGCACTTTAAAGGAGGGGTTTGGGATATGTGCTGTTTGGAGTTACGTCTAAACTGTCACATCAGGGTACCTCTGCAAAGTCAGTGATTATGTGTGAATGATGATGCTGAAAGTTTATTTTTTGGGTCTCACTATCATGGTACGAGACAGCCAGTGTGTTATAAAAAATTAATTTAGGAACAAATCCTGAGAAAGGGGGTATACCTCCTAGGGATAATGGTCGTACGATTGAAATAATTTTAGATGAAGTCGACCTGTTGGAGTTAATTAGGTGAGAAGAGTAGAAGGATTGAGGGGAGTAGAAGTATAGCACAATCAGGGGTGAAATTAATGTGTATATAAGAAAATAGATGAATTGTGAGGTTTTATTAAGTAGTATATGATTCTCTTTAAATAACTTGTTTTCTCTAGGCTGGAGTATCGCTGTACATTAACTGCTACCTTTAAGGCTGGCAAAATTGCTGACCTGGAAAGTGAACAAAGAACTTTCATGGCACACATAAGTATGATATGGCACCTAAGTTACTGGGAATGGTTGAAGTCCCTTGATTTGTATTCCCTGGAATGCAGGTGAGAAAGATTCATGATAAGATATACTTGGAAAATCCTAGAGGGATTAATACCAAACTTGCACACAAAAATCACTGCCTATGAGAGCAAAAGACTTGGCAGGAGATGCAACATTCCCCCAGTGAAAAGCAGGGGAGCCACGAGTACACTGAGAGGCAGCACAATAAGTGTCTGGGGCCCAAGACTCTTCGCCTGCCTCCCAGCATACATAAGGGGGATTACTAATAGACCCCTGGCTATCTTCAGGAAGGTGCTGGACAGGCACCTGAAGTCAGTACCTGACCAGCCAGGCTGTGGTTTGTACATTGGGTTGCATGCAACCATCAGTAGCAGCCTGGTTGATCAGACCCTGATGCACCATGAGGCCTGGTCTCAGACAGAGCCGTGGGGGCGTTGACCCCCGAAACCCTCTCCAGGTATACTCCATGTAATAGATGAATTAAAGACACTAGTATGTGTACACTGTTTGTTTAGACATACTGGTGTCTACACTGCTATGCATACACTGTTTGTGTAGACATACTGGTGTCTACACCAGTATGTGTACACTGTTTGTGTAGACATGTTGGTGTCTGCACCGGTATGTGTACACTGTTTGTGTAGAGATACTGGTGTCTACACCAGTATGTGTACACTGTTTGTGTAAACACACTGGTGTCTTGCTGAGATTTTAGGTATTCAAAGGTATGTCCTCTGACCCCATAATGTTCTAGTTTAAGGTGCAAGATGTTGTGATCCACTGGTTGAATGTTTTCCACATGTCTATGAAGAGTCCCACTTTCTGTAGGTCTATGAAGAGTCCCACTTTCTGTAGGTCTATGAAGAGTCCCACTTTCTGTAGGTCTATGAAGAGTCCCACTTTCTGTAGGTCTGTGAAGAGTCCCACTTTCTGTAGGTCTGTGAAGAGTCCCACTTTCTGTAGGTCTGTGAAGGTCCATCGTAGTCGTGAAGAGTCCCACTTTCTGTAGGTCTGTGAAGAGTCCCACTTTCTGTAGGTCTGTGAAGAGTCCCACTTTCTGTAGGTCTGTGAAGAGTTCCACTTTCTGTAGGTCTGTGAAGAGTCCCACTTTCTGTAGGTCTGTGAAGAGTCCCACTTTCTGTAGGTCTGTGAAGAGTCTCAGAGGATATTAATCTTTTTCAAGGACTGCATAAAACCGTTCAAGCTTTATTGCATCATTTGTATTTTTTTTTTAGGCCTAAAACCAAACTGGTTGTTTTTCATCAATAATTTTATTGCAGGTTAACAAAAATATTTTTGGGCTTTTTTTTTTATATTTTTGCCATTTTTTATTTATTATTTTATATTTTTTGCCATTTTTATTTAATTTTTTTATCCTTTTAGGCTAAATTTTTTTTTCTTAACTCAGTTTTGTAAATTTTAATTGTTATTTTGATTTCAGGTTAACGAAGTTGTTCCTGTGTGAATTTTGTCTCAAGTACATGAAAAGTGTTTCCATGTTGGGTCGGCACCTGGAGAAGTGTATCTGGCGTACGCCGCCCGGCACTGAGATCTACCGTAAAGACGGCCTTTCCGTCTTCGAGGTGAGAGACGATGTAAATTTTGTAGGTAGCAAATGAAAATTCAATTTTTTGGTCAATTGAGAATGCAAATTTGAAACTGGTTGGCAGGACTTGAGTTCTGGAGATGGGAAGTACAGTACCTGTACGAGGATGTTAGTTCTGGAGGTGAGAAGTACAGTATCTGTATGTACTCTGAAAGATGAATGAGGATGTTACAGTTCTGGAGGTGGGAAGTACAGTATCTATACTCTGAAGGATGAGTGAGGATGTTACAGTTCTGGAGGTGGGAAGTACAGTACCTGTACTCTGAAGGATGTGTGAGGATGTTAGTTCTGGAGGTGGGAAGTACAGTGGCTGTACTCTGAAGGATGTATGAGGATGTTAGTTCTGGAGGTGAGAAGTACAGTATCTGTGTGTACTCTGAAAGATGAATGAGGATGTTACAGTTCTGGAGGTGGGAAGTACAGTATCTGTACTCTGAAGGATGTATGAGGATGTTAGTTCTGGAGGTGAGAAGTATAGTATCTGTATGTACTCTGAAAGATGAATGAGGATGTTACAGTTCTGAAGGTGGGAAGTACAGTGGCTGTACTCTGAAGGATGAGTTGAGGAAGTTACAGTTCTGGAGGTGGGAAGTACAGTATCTGTACTCTGAAGGATGTATGAGGATGTTAGTTCTGGAGGTGAGAAGTATAGTATCTGTATGTACTCTGAAAGATGAATGAGGATGTTACAGTTCTGGAGGTGGGAAGTACAGTACCTGTACTCTGAAGGATGAGTGAGAATGTTAGTTCTGGAGGTGGGAAGTACAGTGGCTGTACTCTGAAGGATGAGTTGAGGAAGTTACAGTTCTGGAGGTGGGAAGTACAGTACCTGTACACTGAAGGATGAGTTTGGGGCATTTGCTGTTTATAGTGCCATCTGAACTGTCATATCAGCACACCTCTGGCAAGACAGTGATGGAGTGAATGATGATAAAAGTGTTTCTTCTCTTTCGGATCACCCTGCCTCACTGGGAAACAGCCGATTTGTCATTAAAATTATTTATTTTGCTTACAGGTGGATGGAAACGTAAGCAAAATATACTGCCAGAACTTGTGTCTTCTGGCTAAACTTTTCTTGGACCACAAGACCCTATACTATGATGTGGAGCCATTTCTCTTCTACGTTTTGACTCGCAACGATGACAAGGGATGCCATCTGGTGGGATACTTCAGCAAGGAAAAACTCTCCGCCCTCAAGTATAATGTTTCATGTATCATGACCATGCCTCAGTACCAGAGGCAGGGGTTTGGTCGCTTTCTCATCGATTTTAGTAAGTATTAAGTACCGGTGCATCTTGACTTATGATATTTTGACTTATGATGGTTCAGTTTATGCTATATCAACTCTACAAAAGTTTCGTAAGTCAATCATGAATATGATATGCTAAATCAATAAGTCAATAAATAAGTATTGTCAGTGAATAAGTCAGTAAACAAATAATTACTGTAGCTAAATACCAGTATCGAAAAGTCAGTAAATGAATACAAGTTAGGGACTTACTGCCTTCATGCTGGGTAATTATCTTAAGTGTCATCTCCAAAGTAATTTTTGTTGCACTATTGTGAAGTTGAAATATTGCAAGTTGAACCATCACAAAGCTGAAATATAAGTTGAATCATCGTAAGTTAACCCTTTCAGGGTTGAGAGGCCCTCTCCTAAACTTGTTCTCAGGGTCGAAAATTTTTTGAAAAAAAAATTATTTTTTCTTATGAAAAGATAGATAATCTTTTCCCGATCATAATGACACCAAAAGTATGAAATTTGATAGAAAACTTACGGAATTATGCTCTCGCAAAGTTAGCGGTCTCGCCGATGTTTAAGCATCGGTGATTCTGCCCACTTTGAGCCCTATTTTTGGCCAATTCCTGTGTACTAGTCGACATAAATCATATTTATTTTGCTAGAACTCCATTTTTTCTATCGAATGAGTACAAGAAGCCGCCCATTTACCAACTTCAACTGTCCAATAAAGTGGTTAGAAATTGGCAATTTTGCCAATTTCACACAAATTTCAGAAGATGCCAATTTCCAAATAGGGTCCAGAATAAACAAGAAAGACATTCCTGGCACTAAAATAACAAGTTCTCTGTTCGTTAGTCATGTCCCCAGGCCCCTCTTATATTTCTTTTGCTTTCCACTTTGAATTTTTATTCTTACAAAAAATAGAAGATTTACTGTTATGCAGACTACTGCATTAGTGTAGAAATGGTATAAATAATATCAGTGCACATGTGAAAGAATATTAGACTCACCAGTTGACGTGTATTGGACGCTTGGCGTGATTTGATTACTTTTGAACTTTGGTAAAAATCGAACATTTCTGCTACTTTGAGCTAAATTTCAAGGTACTTTTCATTGTGAAACCAGTCAAAATCATCTCAATTTCTGTAATATGTTTCCATTCTTTTAAAATGAGACCAGGAAAACTAGAATACAACCATAAATACCATACAAAATACAGTGCAAAGTCGCTGTTTTAATCCAAAAACCGGTCAAAGTTTTTTTTTTAACGCACTGTGTGCTGCAGGACTTTTTTTTTAGTGCACATGACCACATAGCCCCATTTTCATATGGGGCGTCCCCTTTTTCTTCGCAATTTTGAAGGCGCTAGAATTTTAAACTTACTGACGTCAATAACCCGGTGCATAAGCCGTCTAGTACATAAAAACCCCAAAAGGGGTTAAGGGCCCCTTCTATCTTAACTGTTGTCTGTTCTTTTTCTTTTTTTCAAAAAGGGGCCTTTTATCCCACCAAGGGGGGGGTGGCCAAAGGAAAAAAATGAAGTTTTCCTTTTACATTTAGAAATTTAATACAGGAGAAGGGGTTCTACCCCCTTCCCCCCGGCTTTTTTAGTTGCCTCTTACAACACGCTTTATTACGGAGGAAGAATCTTTCCCCCTTTCCCCCCTGGAGATAAGAGGAAATAAACAAGAATAAAAGAAAATAAAAGGGAAAACCAGATGGGTGTGTACATTATGTTTGTACAGTAGTGTATGTGACCAAAGTTCAGTAAAAGTATAAAGACGTACCTGAAATCTTGCATGTTTATGAAACAAAAAAAGACCCCCAGCATCCTACCTCAGTACAACAATTACGGCTTCCGTTTTTACATCATTGGCGGACGGTAGTACCCCCCTGGGGGGTTGCTGCTACCCCCCCACTCCCTAGGTTTTTTGTTACATAATATTGTTGGGTAAAGGACACACTTTTAACTAAGTTTACATTATTGTGGCAACTTTCACTGCCGGGAACTTTGTCAGAGTTCCTGAACTTTACAGATTCAGGAATTTTTAAAATTTTCCTTTGAGAGCGAAACTTGCCACAAAAAAATGTCCATTATTACATCGTGTCCATATTTACCTGACATTTAGTTGGTAATTCCCCCTTGTGTCTGTAATAAATTTGAAAAGTCTCCCAGTCAACTGGCTGTCAAAACCCCTTCAAAATAAGGGTATTAAGAGTTGTACCTGTTCTAATTAATTCTAATCTATACTGCTTTATTGTAGCATTTTGCATTTTAGAGTACATGGAACAAAGTATAAGGTGACATAAGGTCTAATGGGGAATGTATGAGAGTATAGGGTAAAATGGTTTTTGTGGGGTGAAGCATGGGTTTTTAACCCCTTTGCTGTTTACACCGTATAAATATGTCTTACGCGCCACTTTTTTCTGGATTTACTAAATTTAATTCTGGGGTGCCAGTGGTAAATGAAAGGGGGGAGCCTTAATTTGGCTATGTGTAGAAAAGAGATTTGGTAATAATAATACATTTTTTATGAAAGAGGATAAAAAAATATACAAGGATGATGTGACGTAATGAAAATAGTTTATTAAAATATGATTGGGGGGTTTAAAAGGTTGATGGGGGCTCCAGGTGTACATGTTTATAGAGGGGCAACTGATTATGGATTTTTTGTTTACTAAATTAGGAAAGATAGATGGGAAAAGAGGAAGGTGGCAACAACAAGTGGGGGGTAAAAGTGTAAAAAACTAAGGAGGGGGAAGTTGGATAATTTAAAACGATATTGGAGAAAGGTGGGCTGTGCAAAGTGGTAGTGGGGGGGGTTAAAGAGGGTTGGAAAATTTTTAAAAAAAATGCGTATTAAAATGTGGGGCAAAAGTTGTGGTTATAAGGGGGGGGGGGGCAGGGGAAGGGATTGTTTGGGTGGAATGATGAAGTAAAGGGGGGTGTAAAAGAGAAAAAGGTAGCTTATGAGAGGTTTTTACAAAGCAGAAAGTGTTATAGAAGAGCAGAGTATATGGAGAGAAAAAGAAAGTAAAGAGAGTGGTGAGAGAGTGCAAAAGAAGAGCAGATGATAAGTGGGAAGGCACTGTCAAGAAATTTTAATAAAAATAAAAAAAAAATTTTGGAGGAGTTAAACAAGTTAAGAAAGCCTAGGGAAAGTTGGATTTGTCAGTTAAAAACGAGTAGGGAGTTAGAAAAAGGGGGAGAGGGAGGATTAGGTAATGGCGAAAATTTTTTGGGGAAACTTTAAATTTTTAAGGAAGAAACAAGGCAGTAATTTCATGCACTGGTCAGGGGGGTTTATACCATTTTTTTGGGGAGGAAGAAGAGCAAATGTAATGTGGGGGGGGTAGTGAGGCATTATTAGAAAAAAAGGGGGTTTTTAAAGCAGTTGGAAGAGGGGATAAAGAAATGTTAAAAAGGGGGGGGGCTTGGGTTTTGGAGGGTTTGTACTTTTTTTAAAATAAATGTATGAAAGAGGGGAAGGTACCTAGGGATTGGCGAGAGCTGTTACCCCTTTATAAAAGGGAAAGGGGACAAAAGAGACTTGAAAAAAATTATAGAGGATAAGTTTAGAGTAAAAAGGGGAAAGTATATTTTGGGGTTATAAAAAAAAAAATTTAGAGGTAAGACAGAAAGTAGGATTGCGGATGAGCAAGGAGGTTTAGGTGGGTGGGGGATGTGTAGTAAAGTGTTTACATTGAAGCATAATGTGAACGTATTTAGAAAAGGGTGGGGAAGTTTTTATTGCATTTTGGTTTTAGAAAAGGCATATGATAGAGTGGATAGAGGGCAAAGGGAGTGTTGAAGTTAGGGAAATAGGTGGTAAGTTATTAAATGCTTTTAAAGATTTTTATGAGGAAGTGGGGCCCCGGGTTTAGGGTGTGTAGAAGAGGGGGAACTATTCCCGGAAAAAAGTAGGTTTAAACAGGATGTGTAATGTCACCATGGTTTTTAATTATTTTAGAGGGGGTTGAAAAGAAGTAAATGCTAGGGTGTTCGGGAGAGGGGTGGGATTAAATTTTGGGGAAAAAATTAAAAAGGGGATTTGACATATTATTTTTTGCTGATGATACTGTGCTTATGGGAGATTTAAAGAAAAATTGAAAGGTTAGTGGATGATTTTGGGAATGTGGTAAAGGTTTAGAAATTTAAAGTGAACATAAAAAAAAGTAAAGTGATGGGGGGATAAAATGTTTGATAAAAAAAATTGGATTCAAGTTGGGGAGAAAGTATGGAAGAAAAATGAATGTTTTCAGATATTTGGGGAGTTGGTGTGGCGGATGGATTTATGAAGGTGGGTTAATCATAGAATTGAGGGGAAAAAAGGTGAGTGGTGCATTGGGTATAGTGGAGAAAAAAAACTTTATCTATGGAGGCAAAGAAGGGTGTATGAAAGTATGTGTACCAACACCTTATATGGGTGTGAAGTTTGGGTGGTAAATGAGCAGCGAGGAGAGGGTTGGGGGCATGGAGTTTCCCTGTTTAAGGGCAATGGGGGTGTAAATATTATGAGAAAATTCGGAGTGTGGAATTTAGAAAAGGTGTGGAGTTAAAAAATATAGTCGAGGGGAAAAGGGGTTGTTTAGGTGGTTTTTGGTCATTTGGGGAGAGAATGGGATCAAAGTAGAATGAATGGAAATTAAACTTGGGAAGGAAAGGGGGGTAGGGGTGGTCCTCAAATTGGGAAGAGGGGGTTTAAATGAGGTTTTGGGGCAAGGGGCTTGGATTAGCGTGGGGGTGGGTTTTAAAGATAGGTGGCCTGGATTGGGACCTGCGAACGGGGGGAAGTGTGAGCAGGGTAAATATTTAGTGAAGATTTCAGGGAAACGGTTTTTTAATAGTCGGACTTGAGTCCGGGGAAATGGGAAGTACAATGCCGCATTTTAAAAAGGAGGGGTTTGGGATATTGACAGTTTGGAGGGGAAAAGTTGTGTTATATTTTTATGCTTCTAAACTGTTTTATTCTGGCCCTCGGGCAAAAAACAGTGATAATGTGCGAGGGGTGAAAGTGTTGAATGATATGAAAGTATTTTCTTTTTGGGGGATTTTCTTTTTTTTTTGGGTCCCCCTCCCCCGGGGGGAACGGCCACTTTTTAAAAAAAAAAAAAAATTCTAGCGGTTTCAATCGAGGGGAGAAAGTGGTAGGCCCACATTGAGAGAATGGGGCTGTGTGGTCAGGTGCACCACATAAAAAAAACCTGCAAAACACAGTGCTAATGAGAAAAAAAAAAACTGATGTTTTTTTTGGATTAAAACGCCAACTTTTGAGGTGTATTTTTGATGATTTTCTGTATTTGCGTTTTTTTTGGGTTTGGTGATAAAATGGAAAACAATTAAGAAATAAAGTGATTTTCATTACTTGACGATGAAAAAAAACCTTTAAACTGGCTCAAGTAGCGGAAATGTTCAATTTTACCAAAGTTCAGGAAATAAAAAATCAACCCAGTCCAATAACGTCAATGGGGGGAGTTTATTTTTTTAGGGCCATGATATTATTTATACCCTTTTTTTTAATAATCAGTAGCTTAACAGCAAATTTTGTTTTTTTTATATGAAAAAAAAAATCAAAATAGAAAGCAATAAAATATAAGAGGGGGCCCAGAGATGGACTAATGAACAGAGGATATGTTTTTTTAGTTCCCAAAAATGTCCACCTTGTTATTTTGGACCCCATTTTTAAATTGGCATCTTTTGTTTTTGCGTGAAAATTTGGCCAAATTGCCCAAATTTTTGACACAAAAATTTGGGTAGTCTAAATTGGTAAAAGGGAGGTTTTTTTGTACTCTTGATAGTAAAAAGGGGTTCTAAAAAAATAGCATAGTTTGGTCAAGGAACGAGGAATTTGGGTGAAAAAAAGGTCAAATTCGGCAAAATTGCCCATAACATTGTCGCTGAGACCGCTAACTTCGCGGGAGCGTAATTCCCTGTGTTTTGACCAATTTCGAACTTTTGGGGTCATTACCACCGGGAAAAAAAGATTCTCTATCATTTATAAAAATTTTTTTTTTTTTTTTTTCAAAAAATTTGTCGACAAGAAAAAGCGTTTCAGAAAGGGGCCTGAAAAAGTCAAAGGGTTAAATTGCGCAAGGAGGGGGCTGGGGCAGTGGGAAAAGCGTGTCTGAGGGCAGTGTGTGTGTAAAATTTTGCAGGAATTACCCGCTTGTAGAAGGTGCTGGGTTTTCAAAAAATATTGTCCCGAGGGCTGAGGAGGGGTTGTTTAGATGGTTCAGACATGTAAAAGGGGGGAATGAAATAGAAGACTTTGGGAGTGTATAAAACTATAGTGGAAGGAAGGAAAAAAGGGGTTTACCTAAGAAAAGTTGGAGGGAGGGGGGTAAAAGAGGGTTTTTGGGGGCGAGGGGCTTGGACTCCAGCAAGCTGTGTGAGCGTGTTAGGAGTGAGTGGAGATGAATGGTTTTTACGACCCGACTGCTGTTGGAGGCGAGCAAGGTAAAATGAAGGAATTAGGGAAAATGGTTAAACCCAAATTGATCCCCCGGAGATGGGAAGTCAGGTTGCATCTGAAGGAGACTGTTGATAGTTTCAGTTTTTAAATGTAGTGTAGGCAGTCTCTGGCAAGACAGTGATGGAGTGAATGATGAGAAAGTGTTTTTCTTTTTTTTTTTTGGGTCAGCCTGCCTTGGTGGGAAACAGCCCATATGTTAAAAAAAAAGGTCCTAAGAGTGGGTTACAGGGAACAAGATAAAACAAAAGCAAAGTCTACATAGTAACAAGTATGAAGGGAACAGTAGACTGATAAGTACTAGTAAAAGGGAATAATAGACTGAAAAGAGACCTGGTAACAAGGTATACAATTTCCCGGAACAAGGTATACAAGTTACCTGGGAACAAGGTATACAAGTTACCTGGTAAAAAGGTATACAAGTTACCCAGCAACAATCATTAGGGTTTCCTGGCAACAAGACACGCAAAACCACACCAAAAAGAGCATTTCCATTCCAGGTTCCTACTATCAAACGCGAGGGGGCAACCAGGGACCCCCGAGAAGCCCCTTCCCGACCTGGGTGCGTTCCCTACACCGCGTACTGGGAAAACCGGCTAATGGGGGTACCCCTACCCCATGAGGGGAACTGAATTCCTTAGCATCCAGGATGTGGGAAAGGAAAGGCGAGTATCCTGCGGGGTGGCTTACACGCTGAATTCCTGGGTTCTTTAAAAGGGATGCAATGGGGGAGTAAGAATCATGGTGTTTGTCATGTGTCTTGAAGGGAAAAAGTTGCAGTAAATGAAGTTGTTGCTCATACATTGTAAAATGTGGTATAATATACACATATTTTCAATGGGGTGTGTAAGCAAATTTTTTACATTGTTTAAACAAACACAACCTTCAGATATGTAAATGTAAACAGTACAAACTTAGGGGGTGTGTATAAACACCCATATCTTCAGGTGAGTGTTAAGCAACAGGTGGGATTTAGATAAAAAGCCATAGGTTTTTCTATTATGAGGACTCCCCCAATCTCCCCCTCTCACCACTTTTTCCCTTTACCCCAATTCTCCCCCTTCACCACAACCCCCCCCTTCACCCCAACCCCCACCTTCATCACAATCCTCCCCCCCACCACAAACCCCCACCCTACCACAGTCCCACCTTCATACAGTCCCCCCCCTCACACAATCCCCCATCCCACCAGTCCCCCCCCTTCACCATGTAACCCCCCCTCCCAAATCCCCCCCTGCTCACCACAATCCCCCACCCTCACTACGTCCCCCACCTTCACCTTAGTCACCCACCCTCACCACAATGCCCCACCTACCCAATCCCCCCCACCACCACAATCCCCCACCTTCACCCCAACCCCCACCCCCACCACAATCCCACACTCACCACAAACCCCCACCTTCACCACAATCCCCCACCTTCACCACAATCCCAACCTTCCCCAAATCCCCCACCCTTACCACAATCCCCCCCCCTTACCACAATCCCCCACCCTTTTACCACAATCCCCCACCTTCACCCCAATCCCCCACCTTTCACCATAATCCCCCCCACTCACCACAATCCCACACCTTCACCACAATCCCCCACCTTCACCACAATCCCCCACCTTCACCACAATCCCCTCTGAAGGACATAAAATGTTAATGTTAAATACTGCAGTGATTTAAAAAAAACACAAATGTTAAAATTAACACAGTGAAAAACTTTTGCAATAGCCGAAATTCGTAAATATTTTGTGGAATAATCGGGAATTTTTAGGAAAAGAAAACTGTAATTTTACTGTAATAAAGTCGGTAGAATTACCGACAATATGTAAAGTAAAAGGACACAAGTGCAACTAATGTGACATTTTATTGTGGCAACGTTTCACTCTCCAGGAGCTTTATCAAGCTTGATAAAGCTCCTGGAGAGCGAAACGTTGCCACAATAAAATATCACATTAGTTGCACTTGTGTCCTTTTACTTGTAATTTTAATGTTACATATACAGTGGTACCCCGAGCTTCGGCCATAATTCATTGCAGAAGGCTGTTCGGGTGCCGTTACCAAAAGAGTTTGTTCCCATAAGGAATAATGTAAATTAGACCAGTCCGTTTCAAACCCCGAAAATACACTTACATAATTGGTCGAGTTGGGAGCTGTCCGAAACTTGAGGTACTACTGTGCTTTAAAATAGGGCGTTTTAAAAAGATGGACCTAATTTAAATTTGTAACATGTTGAAATTGGGTCATCTCTTTGAAACATATATACAGTGGACCCCCGGTTAACGATATTTTTTCACTCCAGAAGTATGTTCAGGTGCCAGTACTGACCGAATTTGTTCCCATAAGGAATATTGTGAATTAGATTAGTCCATTTCAGACCCCCAAACATACACGTACAAACGCACTTACATAAATACATTTATATAATTGGTCGCATTCGGAGGTGATCGTTATGCGGGGGTCCGCTGTACTATATTCTTTTATAATCCATATTAAAAAATAAATAAACTACAATCATCAAATACACCAAGACTAAAAAAAATTTTTTCTTGCTTCCCTCATAACAAAATCATCCAAAAGTTCATCCAAATTTGTTTGTCTAAGTTTGTCACTTTCAGTGAACAGAATGTTCAGTGTGAACACCCTCTCTTGACACATTGTGGCCCTTCATTCATTTGTAATTATTTTGAGACTTGTAAAAAACCTCTCTTTACTTTGAGACTTGTAAAAAACCTCTCATTTACTTTGAGACTTGTAAAAAACCTCTCATTTACTTTGAGACTTGTAAAAAACCTCTCATTTACTTTGAGACTTGTAAAAAACCTCTCATTTACTTTGAGACTTGTAAAACACCTCTCTTTACTTTGAGACTTGTAAAAAACCTCTCATTTACTTTGAGACTTGTAAAAAACCTCTCTTTACTTTGAACTTGTAAAAAAACCTCTCATTTACTTTGAGACTTGTAAAAAAAACCTCTCATTTACTTTGAGACTTGTAAAAAACCTCTCATTTACTTTGAGACTTGTAAAAAACCTCTCATTTACTTTGAGGCTTGTAAAAGACCTCTCTCTCCCGGGCAGTTAGTGAGCATTAAGCTAGGAGGAGCTGCCTAGTATGAGGCAGTAGGCCTCCTGCAGTGTTCCTCCTCTCTTATGTTCTTATGAACAACATAGCTGCAATATTGCTTCCACATTATGGAAGGCCATCTAAATTTTTTCCTTGTACAGCCGACCCTCGAATTTCATCATCCCTTTTCTGTATGTAAAACTGTAGTTATTATTTTATTAGCACATCGGCTGATTCCCACCAAGGCAGGGTGGCCCGAAAAAGAAAAACTTTCATCATCATTCACTCCATCACTGTCTTGCCAGAGGGGTGCTTTACACTACAGTTATAAAACTGCAACATTAAAACCCCTCCTTCAGAGTGCAGGCACTGTACTTCCCATCTCCAGGACTCAAGTCCAGCCTGCCGGTTTCCCTGAATCCCTTCATAAATGTTATTTTGCTCACTCTCCAACAGCACGTCAAGTATTAAAAACCATTTGTCTCCATTCACTCCTATCAAATACGCTCATGCATGCTTGCTGGAAGTCCAAGCCCCTCCCACACAAAACCTCCTTTACCCCCTCCCTCCAGCCTTTCCTAGGCCGACCCCTACCCCGCCTTCCTTCCACTACAGACTGATACACTCTTGAAGTCACTCTGTTTCGCTCCATTCTCTCTACATGTCCGAACCACCTCAACAACCCTTCCTCAGCCCTCTGGACAACAGTTTTGGTAATCCCGCACCTCCTCCTAACTTCCAAACTACGAATTCTCTGCATTATATTCGCACCACACATTGCCCGCAGACATGACATCTCCACTGCCTCCAGCCTTCTCCTCGCTGCAACATTCATCACCCATGCTTCACACCCATATAAGAGCGTTGGTAAAACTATACTCTCATACATTCCCCTCTTTGCCTCCAAGGACAAAGTTCTTTGTCTCCACAGACTCCTAAGTGCACCACTCACCCTTTTCCCCTCATCAATTCTATGATTCACCTCATAGTTATTCTTTATAAAATGTATTGTTTGTTAATATTTTTGGGTGTCTGGAATGGATTAATTGGATTTACATTATTTCTTATGGGAATACATATTAACAAAAAAATACAATTTATAGGGATGATGAAATTCGAGGGTCTACTGTATATAATTTGATAAAGGTCTGTATGAGACAGTGACTGCTCTGCTGTAGACCTATAGTTTTGTCTCACGTGTAAGTGAACGTGATGATAAGTGAACGTGATGATAAGTGAACGTGATGATAAGTGAACGTGCTGATAAGTGAACGTGATGATAAGTGAACGTGATGATAAGTGAACGTGATGATAAGTGAACGTGATTGATATAAGTGATCGTGATGATAAGTGAACGTGATGATAAGTGAACGTGATGATAAGTGAACGTGATGATAAGTGAACGTGATGATAAGTGAACGTGAAAAAGTTCATCAGTAAGATTAAGATGAACATCATCAACAGTTCAACATCTTGCTGAATTTCTTCCTTAGATGTTGCCACATTAGCAAGAAAGGGTAACATTTGTGCAACATCACTGTACACAGTAGATGCTTCAGACACATGTACAACAGTTGGGTATCTTCATTGTTGCAATTTTTTTCCTACACAGTACATAAGAACATAAGAAAGGAGGAACACTGCAGTAGGTCTTTTGGCCCATACTAGGCAGGTCCTTCACAAATCCAACCCACTGTACAAAGGACGTAATCAGTCCATCAACCTCAGAGAAAAAGTATTTGAGGTGGCCAGTCCCTCAGCTTGGGGAAGAGTTCAGCTTCATGGAGGTGAATTTCACAGTAGGTAGTCTTCTTAAATTGGCTTCAAGTGCATCTGCAGGTTGACCATCACTAATCTGACATCACTGGGACATTTACCTGTACCGTTGGAATGGTAAATCACAGGAAACTGTCATACCTTTGAAAGCCCTGAGACATAAACTTATGCTGATGATACTAGCCGAAATTAGTGCTGGATTAGTGATGGAACCAGATTAGTGATTGCCTGATCAGTGATGGCTGACCTGTAGTATAGGAATAAAGGATTTTTTTTTTCAATGAACCGGCTATATCCCACTGAGGCAGGGTGACCTGAAAAAAATAAACGAAAGTTTCTCTTTTTAAATTTAGTAATGCATACAAGAGAAGATGTTACTTACCCCTTGCTTCTGGCATTTTAGTCACCTCTTACAACACGCATGACGTATGCAGGAAGAATTCTGTTCCACTTCTATATGGAGAATAAAGGATTTTATGCTAAACTTATCTCTTGAAGAACATCTAAGGCATCAGAACCAGGTGCACTTCCATCGTTTCATTGTTGTTTCATTACTCTTTGTCTCCTTGTGACAGTTCTGTAGTAATTTTTGGCAAGGTGGCTTTTGCTTGTTGCTCGAGCTCGTCAAAATCTCTAATTTTGCTTAAAAATGCAGGAGTGTACTGTACAAACATACACAAGTACTCAGTAACAAGAACAAAAAGGCACAATACCATGACTGAAACAGTACCAGTTCTGATTTCTGAATGACTTTGCTGACCTTGTGAAAATGACCTAATACACGTCTCCAAAAATGTAGCTGAAACCAAATTCCCATTCTCCATTTATCATGCAAGATGTTAGCTTGAAGCCTGTCTTAACCCTTTCATTAACAAGGGCATGCATTTTGCACTGACTTAGATACCTCATCAACTGTATCTACAGAAGGGCCATGTCATTATATCGTGCTCCTCTTTTTGATGTCCATTATATCAGCTGTTTCAATTGAGCCATGTTCATTAATATTCGGTTGTGTTTCGTTATCCCCAGCATTATGTACCATTTTCATAAAAAGTTTTTGCGTAATGGATAAGGATACAATCGGATGCTGTATTTTTATGTTAGTACACTGGCAACATTGGTTTCGTTCCACCAGCATGCAGTAAAAAACAAGTTAATCTCCATAAAAAATATATTTTTTTGTTAAATATTTTTGGGTGTCTAGAATGAATTATTGATTACATTATTTCTTTTAGGATACAAATTATCAAAAAAATACATTTTATAGAGAATAACTGTGGTTTTGCATGCAACCTGGGGCATACGAGAACCAAGGTTCCACTGTATTGTTCTTATTTTGCTATATTATCTTTTTTTTTGCTTAGCTATATTAAGCACCTAATATATGATAGTGTTAACATGTTATCAGGCATTTTAGATGCATTCGTTAATGAATAAAAGGCTCTCTTTGCCTCCACCGGCAATTTTTGCTCACTGTTTGGGGCCACAAACTTTTGAGCCGTAAAAATGGTGTCCTCCTGTATCTCTCTGCTTTACTGGAAGGACACAATTCAATACAGAAATCAATATTGTTCTGAAATTGAGTGCAAGTGACATTACTGAAGAGTTTAGAGACTACAGTGCATTATGAGAGCATGTATAAGAAAGGTCTCTGACGATGTCAAAAATATTATTCACCTTGGCCAGAGGCCTCCTAGATTTTGAGGCCCTAGGCTGCAGCCTGCCAAGCCTATAGGTAGATCTGGCACTGAAGCATGCGCATATTTTCAGATATGTGTAAGCAAGCAAATATCTTCAGATACGTGTGTAAGCGCATACATAGTCGAAAATATTGTAAGAGTAAACATATCAGGAATTTTAGACATATTCCATAGTGGAAAAAAAATGCTCTTTTCCACCCAATGGCAATTTTCGCTTACCATTTGGGTCAGCAACTTACCATATGGGGTCAGCAACTTAACGTGTGGGGTCAGCAACTTACCGTATGGGGTCAGCAACTTAAGAGCTGTACAAACAGAGACAGAGAATAAGTTAGAAGATAGTCAGATCTCATCGTGAACTGCCAGATCTCCTGTAAATTTGCCTTTAGGCTAAAGGAAAATGAATGAGCAGGCCTATCTTAGGTCTACCTGGGAAGATGAATATGATAATGACATACAGAATCGACAAGTTGAATAAGCAAGATGCATGTCCAACAGTTAGGTATCTTTATTCCGAAACATTTCACCTACACAGTAGGCTTCTTCAGTCGAATACAGAGGCAACAGAAGCGGTACAGATGTGACGGCGATGTAATCAGTCCATCACGCTTGAAGATGTAGTTTTGAGGTGGTCGGTCCCTCAGCCTGAAGGAGAGTTTTGTGCCATAGTCTGGAACATTATGAAGTTGAAGATGTTACACTGTAACACACATTAATAACCTCGTGTTGTTTCAGGATGGTTGTCAGTATAGACTGGAGAGCGGTGGACGAACACTACCAGAAGCAACTCAACAATCCCCGACGGTTGAGGTTGGACCCAGAAGCTCTGCGGTGGTCGCCGCTGCTGGCCGGACACAACACTTCCCTCCATCAAGACTCCGATGAGGTAATGTGACTCTTCACCTGTATGTACAATATTTTCATCCAGATATCCATTAACCAACAATTTTAGGATGCGTTGTAGATGTGATTAAATAACCTAACATTAATTAACTTCACCCTAACCTAACTAACCTTGATTAACCCTAACCTAGCCTTACCTAACTTAACCTAACCTAACCTAACCTAACCTAGTTTTACCTAACTTAACCTAACCTAACCTAACCTAACCTTACCTAACTTAACCTAACTTAACCTAACCTAACCTAACCTAACCTAACCTAGCCTTACTTAACTTAATCTAGCTTAACCCTTTCAGGGTCCGTGCCGTAGATCTATGGCTTTACATTGAAGGTCCGAACCGTAGATCTACGTCATGAGCTCAGCTCACTCTGATAAGCTGTGAGTGGTAAATTTGGGCCTAGATATGAGAGAATACATCTATGTGGTATGTGCGCACCACATAAAACAAATCCTGCAGCACACACTGCATAATGAGAGAAAAAAACGAGACCGTAATTTTAGATTAAAACAGGGACTTTGCGGTGTTTTTTGTGTTTTTTATAGTTGTATTTGCAATTTCTTGGTCTCATTTGATAGAATGGAAGATATATTACAGAAATAGAGATGATTTTGATTGGTTTTAGTACTGGAAATGGCTTGAAACTGAGCTCAAAGTAGCGGAAATGTTAAATTTTTGCCAATGTTCAAGAGTAAACAAATGACCTCACACGTCTAATACACGGCAGCTGGTGGGTCTAATATATGTTCACAAATGTGGTGATATTATTTATGCAATTATTACAATATTGCATGAAAGTAAATCTTCTATTTTTTGGTGTGAATAAAAATTCATTATGTGAATTAAAAATCAAAATGGAATTCATTTGTAAAGTCTGAAAACATAACTTATGAACAGAGGAAATGTTAGTTTAGTGCCAGGAATGTCTGCATTGTTTATTCTGGACCCTATTTTGAAATTGGAGTATTTTGAACTTTGCATTAAATTGGCCAAATTACCAATTACCGATCATTTTATTTTGTAGTTGAAACAGTTGACTTGGCAATTTCTTGTGCTCAATCGATAGAATAGAAATAACACTAGTGAAATAGCTATGGATTTGGTCGACTGGAATAATGTAATTGGCCTAAAATGGAAGTCAAAGTCGGCAAAATCGCCGATGCGTAAATATTGCTGACACATCAAAATTCGCAAGAGCATAATTTCGTCACTTTTTCATCAAATTTCGTACTTTTTGTTTTATTACCTTCAGAAAAAGATTCTCTACCATTTCATAAGAAAAAATAAAATTATTTTTTGAAAATTCTTGGACCCTGGTGCACACTTCGAAATTTGGCCTCTGGACCCTGAAAGGGTTAACCTAACCTAGCCTTAACTTACCCTAGCTTAACCTAACTTATCCTTAGGTAATGAACAGTTGCAGCTTTGCAAAGTTACTTTTTATTGTAATAGTTATATTCTAGAAACTAATGAGTTATTGTAGTACAGTGAACCCTGAGTTAAACAGACCAGTAGGACAGACAGCATGTCCCTTATAACTGATTGTTAAACTTAAATTATGAGGTTTGTCCACAGTCTGGATATAAGAGACTTAATTCATTAACCCTTTGACTGTTTTCGACGTATAAATACGTCTTACGAGCCAATGTTTCTGACGTATATATACTCAATAATTCTTTTTCTGTCTCATAAACACGCTAGATAACAGGGATATCTTGCTACTCCTACTTACACTTTGGTCACACTTCACAGACACGCACATGCATATATATATATACATACATCTAGGTTTTTCTCCTTTTTCTAAATAGCTCTTGTTCTTTTTTATTTCTTCTATTGTCCATGGGGAAGTGGAAAAGAATCTTTCCTCCGTAAGCCATGCGTGTCGTATGAGGCGACTTAAATGCCGGGAGCAATGGGCTAGTAACCCCTTCTCCTGTATACATTTACTAAAAAAGAGAAGAAGAAAAACTTTATAAAACTGGATGCTTAAATGTGCGTGGATGTAGTGCGGATGACAAGAAACAGATGATTGCTGATGTTATGAATGAAAAGAAGTTGGATGTCCTGGCTCTAAGCGAAACAAAGCTGAAGGGGGTAGGAGAGTTTCAGTGGGGGGAAATAAATGGGATTAAATCTGGAGTATCTGAGAGAGTTAGAGCAAAGGAAGGGGTAGCAGTAATGTTAAATGATCAGTTATGGAAGGAGAAAAGAGAATATGAATGTGTAAATTCAAGAATTATGTGGATTAAAGTAAAGGTTGGATGTGAGAAGTGGGTCATAATAAGCGTGTATGCACCTGGAGAAGAGAGGAATGCAGAGGAGAGAGAGAGATTTTGGGAGATGTTAAGTGAATGTATAGGAGCCTTTGAACCAAGTGAGAGAGTAATTGTGGTAGGGGACCTGAATGCTAAAGTAGGAGAAACTTTTAGAGAGGGTGTGGTAGGTAAGTTTGGGGTGCCAGGTGTAAATGATAATGGGAGCCCTTTGATTGAACTTTGTATAGAAAGGGGTTTAGTTATAGGTAATACATATTTTAAGAAAAAGAGGATAAATAAGTATACAAGATATGATGTAGGGCGAAATGACAGTAGTTTGTTGGATTATGTATTGGTAGATAAAAGACTGCTGAGTAGACTTCAGGATGTACATGTTTATAGAGGGGCCACAGATATATCAGATCACTTTCTAGTTGTAGCTACACTGAGAGTAAAAGGTAGATGGGATACAAGGAGAATAGAAGCATCAGGGAAGAGAGAGGTGAAGGTTTATAAACTAAAAGAGGAGGCAGTTAGGGTAAGATATAAACAGCTATTGGAGGATAGATGGGCTAATGAGAGCATAGGCAATGGGGTCGAAGAGGTATGGGGTAGGATTAAAAATGTAGTGTTAGAGTGTTCAGCAGAAGTTTGTGGTTACAGGAAAGTGGGTGCAGGAGGGAAGAGGAGCGATTGGTGGAATGATGATGTAAAGAGAGTAGTAAGGGAGAAAAAGTTAGCATATGAGAAGTTTTTACAAAGTAGAAGTGATGAAAGGAGGGAAGAGTATATGGAGAAAAAGAGAGAGGTTAAGAGAGTGGTGAAGCAATGTAAAAAGAGAGCAAATGAGAGAGTGGGTGAGATGTTATCAACAAATTTTGTTGAAAATAAGAAAAAGTTTTGGAGTGAGATTAACAAGTTAAGAAAGCCTAGAGAACAAATGGATTTGTCAGTTAAAAATAGGAGAGGAGAGTTATTAAATGGAGAGTTAGAGGTATTGGGAAGATGGAGGGAATATTTTGAGGAATTGTTAAACGTTGATGAAGATAGGGAAGCTGTGATTTCGTGTATAGGGCAAGGAGGAATAACATCTTGTAGGAGTGAGGAAGAGCCAGTTGTGAGTGTGGGGGAAGTTCGTGAGGCAGTAGGTAAAATGAAAGGGGGTAAGGCAGCCGGGATTGATGGGATAAAGATAGAAATGTTAAAAGCAGGTGGGGATATAGTTTTGGAGTGGTTGGTGCAATTATTTAATAAATGTATGGAAGAGGGTAAGGTACCTAGGGATTGGCAGAGAGCATGCATAGTTCCTTTGTATAAAGGCAAAGGGGATAAAAGAGAGTGCAAAAATTATAGGGGGATAAGTCTGTTGAGTGTACCTGGTAAAGTGTATGGTAGAGTTATAATTGAAAGAATTAAGAGTAAGACGGAGAATAGAATAGCAGATGAACAAGGAGGCTTTAGGAAAGGTAGGGGGTGTGTGGACCAGGTGTTTACAGTGAAACATATAAGTGAACAGTATTTAGATAAGGCTAAAGAGGTCTTTGTGGCATTTATGGATTTGGAAAAGGCGTATGACAGGGTGGATAGGGGGGCAATGTGGCAGATGTTGCAAGTGTATGGTGTAGGAGGTAGGTTACTGAAAGCAGTGAAGAGTTTTTACGAGGATAGTGAGGCTCAAGTTAGAGTATGTAGGAAAGAGGGAAATTTTTTCCCAGTAAAAGTAGGCCTTAGACAAGGATGTGTGATGTCACCGTGGTTGTTTAATATATTTATAGATGGGGTTGTAAGACAAGGATGTGTGATGTCACCGTGGTTGTTTAATATATTTATAGATGGGGTTGTAAGAGAAGTAAATGCGAGGGTCTTGGCAAGAGGCGTGGAGTTAAAAGATAAAGAATCACACACAAAGTGGGAGTTGTCACAGCTGCTCTTTGCTGATGACACTGTGCTCTTGGGAGATTCTGAAGAGAAGTTGCAGAGATTGGTGGATGAATTTGGTAGGGTGTGCAAAAGAAGAAAATTAAAGGTGAATACAGGAAAGAGTAAGGTTATGAGGATAACAAAAAGATTAGGTGATGAAAGATTGAATATCAGATTGAAGGGAGAGAGTATGGAGGAGGTGAACGTATTCAGATATTTGGGAGTGGACGTGTCAGCGGATGGGTCTATGAAAGATGAGGTGAATCATAGAATTGATGAGGGAAAAAGAGTGAGTGGTGCACTTAGGAGTCTGTGGAGACAAAGAACTTTGTCCTTGGAGGCAAAGAGGGGAATGTATGAGAGTATAGTTTTACCAACGCTCTTATATGGGTGTGAAGCGTGGGTGATGAATGTTGCAGCGAGGAGAAGGCTGGAGGCAGTGGAGATGTCATGTCTGAGGGCAATGTGTGGTGTGAATATAATGCAGAGAATTCGTAGTTTGGAAGTTAGGAGGAGGTGCAGGATTACCAAAACTGTTGTCCAGAGGGCTGAGGAAGGGTTGTTGAGGTGGTTCGGACATGTAGAGAGAATGGAGCGAAACAGAATGACTTCAAGAGTGTATCAGTCTGTAGTGGAAGGAAGGCCGGGTAGGGGTCGGCCTAGGAAAGGTTGGAGGGAGGGGGTAAAGGAGGTTTTGTGTGCGAGGGGCTTGGACTTCCAGCAGGCATGCATGAGCGTGTTTGATAGGAGTGAATGGAGACAAATGGTTTTTAATACTTGACGTGCTGTTGGAGTGTGAGCAAAGTAACATTTATGAAGGGGTTCAGGGAAACCGGCAGGCCGGACTTGAGTCCTGGAGATGGGAAGTACAGTGCCTGCACTCTGAAGGAGGGGTGTTAATGTTGCAGTTTAAAAACTGTAGTGTAAAGCACCCTTCTGGCAAGACAGTGATGGAGTGAATGATGGTGAAAGTTTTTCTTTTTCGGGCCACCCTGCCTTGGTGGGAATCGGCCAGTGTGATAATAAAAAAATAATAATAATAAATAATTCTAGCGGCTTCAAATCAAGCGGGAGAAAGCTGGTAGGCCCACATGTGAGAGAATGGGTCTGTGTGGTCAGTGTGCACCACATAAAAAATCCTGCAGCACACATTGCGTAATGAGAAAAAAAAAACTGATCATTTTTTTGGAATAAAACGCCGACTTTGAGGTGTATTTTCGTATAGTATTTATCGTTGTATTTGCGTTTTCATGGTCTTAGGTGATAAAATGGAAAACATATTACAGAAATAGAGATGATTTTCATTACTTTGACGATGAAAATGACCTTGAAACTGAGCTCAAAGTAGCGGAAATGTTCGATTTTTACCAATGTTCAGGAGTAAATAAATCACACCACACGTCCAATACACGTCAACTGGGGAGTCTAATATTCTTTCACTAGTCCACTGATATTATTTATACCATTTTTACAATAATGCAGTAGTCTGCATAACAGTAAATTTTGTATTTTTTTGTATGAATAAAAATCAAAATAGAAAGCAATAATAATATAAGAGGGGCCTAGAGATGTGACTAATGAACAGAGCATATGTTATTTTAGTGCCACGAATGTCTACCTTGTTTATTCTGGACCCTATTTTGAAATTGGCATCTTTTTTAGTTTGCGTGAAATTGGCCAAATTGCCAATTTCTGACCACCATATTGGGTAGTCCAGATTAGTAAATGGGAGGTTTCTTGTACTCAGCTGATAGATAAAATGGAGTTCTAAAGAAATAGCTATGAGTTTGGTCAACTGGAACAATGGAATTGGCTGAAAATAGGGCTCAAAGTCGGCAAAATCGCTGATACGCATATGTCGCCGAGACCGCTAACTTCGCGGGAGCATAATTCCATGAGTTTTCGACCAAATTTCGAACTTTTGGTGTCATTACCACCAGGAAAAGATTCTCTATCATTTCATAAGAAAAAATAATTTTTTTTTTCAAAAATTGAGCGACATAGAATGACAGTTTCAGAGAGGGGCCTGAAACAGTCAAAGGGTTAATATCTGTGCTAATCTTGTCTGCAGTCTGGATATAAGGGACTGTAGTTAACTAATATTTATGCTAATCTTGTCTGCAGTCTGGCTATAAGGGACTTAAGTTCACTAATATCTATGCTAATTTTATCTACAATGTAGATATAAGGGACTGTAGTTAACTAATATTTATACTAAACTTGTCTGCAGTCTGGATATGAGGGCCTTTAGTTCACTAATATCTATGTTAATCTTGTCTACATGATACATGTATATTGTTGTACTTTCAATGTATATTTTTTACTCTTTTTAAGGAGGAGGAAGTGTCGCAGGAGAAAGTGATCAAGGTCGAAGAAAGTAAGCTTGTAGAAAGTAGCAAGACAGACGAGGTGAAAGCGGAGCCTGCAAAGATAGCAGAGAAAACAGCTGAAGGAGGCACCAAGGAGCAGGATGAGGACAAGAAGCCTCCGGTGCCTTCGGCGACGCCTCCTGCTGCCTCAGCAGTGAAGAATAACCGTCCGCCAAAGTTGAAGGGCAGCTCCGAGTCCCCCGTATCAATCGTGAGTGTCTGTTGGTTGCACGTGTGTTCATTTGATAAACACAAATTATTTTCAGTGTGGAGTTGGTCCTCCATTTACATCCAAAACAGCATCAGTTGGGCGAGGAATTGATTCCTACAGGCGGGCCCCACTTTACACCACTTTGCTTTACAGTGCTTCACTTTACAGCACTTTGCTTTACAGTGCTTCACTTTACAGCACTTTGCTTTACAACACCACTTTACTTTAAGTGCTTCACTTTACAGCATTTCATTTAAGTGCATCCACAGCAATTCTTTAGATTCTTCACTTTAACTCTTTGCATGAAGTGCTGAATTATCCCATGCTTTAGCAGCTGCTTGCACTTTACCACAGCACTTTGCTTTAAAGGCTTACTATTTCTGTTATGTTTGTGTTAGATTGTAACTTCATTTTACAGGCACTTGCTTTAATGCTCATCTTTTATACAGCTTTGCTTTACCAGTGCTTCCTTTAACATTTGCTTTACAGTCACTTGCCATCTTAACAAGAACTTTGTCTTTAGCAAAGAGCAGTAGGGCCAGAACCTACTTATGGGGTATAATGTGAATAGCGTCTGCCATGTATCAATGTTGTTGAAAGAGCATCAGTGGAATTAGGATCTTACTCAAAACTGTTTTCAAGGCTGTTGTTGAGTGATCTTGACATGTGAAAATGAAGGTAAAGATATGATTCAGCGTAGTAACAGTCTCCGTAATTGAAAATAGGCTGGGGTGCCTAGAAATTGAGGGTTAAAGGGGTTTTGTGTGGGTAGGGCTTAGAACTTCCAGCAAGATGCATTACTGTTGATAGGAAGTAGTGGAGCAAATGGGTTTTTAATATTGACTGCTGTTGGAGTGTAGCAAAGTAACTTTATGAAGGATTCAGAAACCGCAGGCCGACTTGAGTTGAGATGGGAATACAGTGCCTGCACTTAAGAGTGTTAATGTGCAGTTTAAAAACTGTAGTGAAAGCACCCTTCTGAGACGTTGGATGAATGATGGTAAGTGTTTCCTTTTTCGGCCACCCTGCCTTGTAATCGCATGTGATAAAAAAAAAGAAAAAAAAAAATCCACCAGGGCTGTTTGGAAGATTATCCGGGGTTGTTACTTGCCTTGATGTATATCCTTCAGCTATAGCACCTGGAAACCCTGGGCAGCCCTTACCTGTGGTTTTGGACTTGGCCCGCACCTCACGACCTCGTAGTGGTTAGTCCTATTTACTCAACATTGACCCTACTTACTGCAGCACTAAATAGGCAGATGTAGGTAAAATAGAGGCTTACCTGGCTCATTGTAATGGGACCCTGTGATGTCTTGCCGTCACTGAGACTGATATCGTTGGCTTAACTGAAAAGATGATGCTGGACACCTCCATTTTGTCATCTGCTTGGCATGTGTCGCCTGACGGCTAACACGAATGATCCACACTGTGATAGTACTTCCATGGTAAATTTGCTACACTCATTGATATGTCTGCATCACTCACACAGAATAATGCCTAATTTTCTGGGGATCGTCAATGCATGGCCAGGAAATATGTACACGAAATTGGCCAGAATGGTTTGGGTGCTGGTAGGGCAGCACCCAGCCACCTTATGTGGTCACCTCATCACACATTCACTCACCAAAGCCAAATTGCAATCCCGAATCACGAATCAATACTGTTGCTAGCTCCTCCCTCTTTTCTAGATGGTTATGCGTCTACAGGTACATTAGTGCCAGCTGCTTCAACTTAACACAATCAAAATAGACTGATTCCTTCAGTCTGAGATGCGAGTTTATGAAAATAATCCCCCTAGGTATGTTATCAGTTCCCAGGCATATATTTTCAGATTTTTTCTGGTCTTGGGAAATTGCCATTTTCTCAGACAAACGTCCGTTTGTAAATCTTGCAGACAAATCTTGTGGACATTCCTTTAGAGTGTAAATTCTGGTGTACATGTGTGCATCTCATGTATCACCTTTTATCAGCTACTGGTACTCCTCACCTAATGACAGAGTTGCGTTCCTAAGAGAAGGTCGGTAAGTGAATTGCTCAAGTGAGGAGCCGCCCCTTACTGATATTTCAAGCATACTGTACAGCCTCTCCTCACCTAACGACAGAGTTGCGTTCCTAAGACCACGTCGATAAATGAATTCGTCTCTAAGTGAGGAGCATACTATAATGGTAGTGGGTTTGTGTCAACCATCTTTGATATAGTTTTAATGTCACCTTTGTACCATTTATAACGTTTCTGGTATATTTTTAAAAGTTTATACACTAGTGTACTGTACAATGAACAGAAAAGAGGAAATTAGCTCTTATATACATTATTTAGGTATGCATGCTGGTCGGAGAGCTCATCGTAAGCCCGAGTCATCGGTAAACGAGTACGTCACTGAATGAGGAGGGGCTTTACTGGTTAGCATAAGCACAACTGTGACCACAAATGCAAGTCTTTTTTATAGACGAATATCCCGCCAACGTGGCTGAAAAAAAAAGGCTTTACTGGTACAGGTCTACAACCCTTTATCTGAAATTCTGAAATTGGAAAAGTTCCGAATACCGAAGGTTTTTTGTGGAGTGTGGAGCATCAGTCATCTCAGTGCCGGGTCACGCTGCCACGTGGCGGCGTTGAGAATCATTCTGAACTTCAAAATATTCTGAAATTCGAAACAATACTGACCCCAAGGGTTTTGGATAAAGGGATGTGGACCTGTAGTGGGTTTATATCATCTATCTTTAGATGGTTTTAATGTCACCTTTACACCATTTATAGCATTTTTAGTATATTAAAAATATAACTAGGCATTAAAAGCAGTGAAAAGTAAAATATACATACAGTACACTGCTGGGAGAGTTGGTCGTAAGTCTGAGTGGTCGTTAAACAAGTACAGTGGACCCCCGCATAACGATCACCTCCGAATGTGACCAATTATGTAAGTGTATTTATGTAAGTGCGTTTGTACGTGTATGTTTGGGGGTCTGAAATGGACTAATCTACTTCACAATATTCCTTATGGGAACAAATTCGGTCAGTACTGGCACCTGAACATACTTCTGGAGTGAAAAAATATCGTTAACCGGGGGTCCACTGTATGTCGTTAAGTGAGGACTACCCGTATTAAGTAGTAGTATTACCATTAGATGGGTGTCTGATTTTGCTGGTTCGGACACATTAGTTAAGACAAGTGGGCATTCTGGAATGTGCTAATTGAAGTTGTGTGAATGATGACGAAAGTTTTTCTTTTTTGGGCCACCCTGCCTTGGTGGGAGATGCCTGATGTGTTAATAAAAAATTAGTAACACACAAGACCTTCTTGAGTGTACTGGTCATAACCCCTTTTATACTCACTGTGGGTAAGTAGTGTGAGGGGTCTTAGTGCCCGTGAGGGGTTGCTGCTCCAGGGGGGCATTGATCCCCGTGGGGGTTAGAGAAAAATTTTCTCCAAAGTTTATATTTGAGAATGACCTGCCCAGTATGGGCTGGTAGGCCTGCTGTAATGTTCCTTTTCAGTGGGTTTGAGAAGGACCTGCCTAGTTTGGATCAGTTGGCCTGCTGCAATGTTCATCCTTTTTTATGTTCCAGTGATTGAGGGGATATAGTCCAAGTATTCAACTGAACTTCCTTGTTCTTCATGACAGTTTTGAACTGGTTCAGTATTCCCATCAACAGTTTGATAGTTCAACAGTTTGACAGTTTGATAGTGCGACAGTTTGAAAGTCCGACAGTTTGATAGTTCAACAGTTTGAAAGTCCGACAGTTTGATAGTTCAACAGTTTGACAGTTTGATAGTGCGACAGTTTGAAAGTCCGACAGTTTGATAGTTCAACAGTTTGATAGTCGACAGTTTGATAGTCGACAGTTCAATCAGCAGGAGTGCATATTATTTTGTCCAGCCCTATATATTAATTCTAATTAAAATAATTCAGTTATCTTCACCTATCATCAGTTATCTTCAGTGAACTTAGACCTGACCTTATAATGTTTTACTAAGGTCTGTTGTTCCATTTGTGGTTTTGTATCTTTCTCTCCTTCACACATTGACTATATTTACATCTTTCAGGTCGACGCCAAAGAACGGGAGAAAGAGAACATAAATAGCGGAATGAGTGGTGTCAAGGCAACTACCGCTTCTGCTGATGATAGCCTGACCTTACCCACTGAAGAGGATGCTTATGTCTTCAAGGAAGATGAGGAGAGCGAGTTTGAACCTAGCTTTCGCAGCCTCAAGATCGTGAAGCGGAAATCGCAGACGCTCAAGGAGACGCAGTGTCCTAGGGAACACGGCGACCAAGCGTTCCCCCCTCACAATGCGGGGAAAAGGCCCAACGAGGGAAACCCATGGGGGTTTTGACGAAAAGGGGAATTCGGGGCGGAAAGGGGTGCAGGACAGAAAGCGGGAAAGAGCGGCGGATGAAGAAAGTCGTCCCCCGGAGGACGTGGGGCGGGGAAGCCCAAATTTGGGTCGCTGAAAGGTAGAAGTTACATTAAAACCATGAACGGAAGAGCCTTACAAAAAAATGAAGCGTGCAAAAAAAAAGTGTTTTTTCCCAAAGGGAAAAGACACAAAAGGGACGGAAAAAGCAGAAAAGAATTTGACAGGGGAGAAAGGGGGCCCTAATAACTCAACCAGCTGAGGGCAGACAAAGGTTTTGCCCAAAATCCCATAATGGTCATCGCGGGGTTGAGTTGCAGCTCCGGGCCCCTTTTCGTTGAACCTATCACCTGGTCATCAAACTTTTTTATAAAATTTTGGGTTGTTCTGAGGTGGTTTTTGATTCTTTTGGGGAGTGCGGGGAGGTGACTTTAAAGGTTTTAAATGAACTAAATTACGGTTTGATCCTGGGGGTGGGAAGTACAGTCCCTTTTAACTTTTGAAGGATGATTTGGGTTTTTTAAACATCCGGGAGGGGGGAAGTACAAAACCTGTCTCTAAAGGATGATTGGGAGGATTTAGCTTTTCAAAGATCTAAGAATTCGGCAAAACCCCTGGAAAGACATGATTGACTGAATAACTTTGCAAGTTTTTTTTTTTTTTTTAACTTTTAAACCCTTTACAAGAAAGGATCAATATACTTAAATACATCAAATTTACACGGGTTTTTCCTCCCACCGAGGCAATGTAAACCCTAAAAAAAGAAAAAAACGCTTTTTAAAAATCGTTGTTTCGGAACAGTTTACAATCATGCCGAGAATCAAAAATTATTTTTTTTATATGGATTGTTAAAGTGCAAAACAACCACAAGTGGAGTTGAATGATAGCTTTTTTAGGCCTTTCATGTTGGGAATCCCCAAAATCTTTAGGGGCTTAAAATTTTTTTAGAAATGATAGAAAGTTTTGGTTGGGAAATACTGTACCCGTTCCAGGTAGATTTTCAGTGGAGCTAAATGAAACTTTTCAGGAAAATTTTTCATGGAATACTGTAAACCCGTTCCTGGGAATTGTTCAGTGGGGAAATATTGGGCCTTTTCCAGGTAGATTGTTTAGTGGAACTACTGTAAAACCCTTTTTAGGTAGATTGTTCAGTTTAACCCACTGGGACCTGTTTCCAGGGAGAAATTTTTCATGGAACTACTGTGGGCCCATTCCAGTAGGGTTTTTCAGTGGGCCCAAAAAACCTAAATTTTAGGCAGATTGTTCAGTGGAAATACTGTACATGTTTCCGGGAATTGTTTTGGTGGAACTAAATGTACCTTTCCAGGTAGATTGGGTTTAGTGGAAAAAACTGTTCCTGTTCCCGGGAGATTGGGTTTATGGGGAAATACTGTACCGTTCCAGGGAATTGTTCAAAGGAACTACTGTAAACCCTTTTCCAGGGAGATTGTTCCCGGGGAAATACTGGGACCTGTTCCGGTAAATTGTTTTAAATGGGGAAATACTGTACCTGTTTCCAGGGGATTTTTTTCATGGAACAAAAAGTACCGTTTTTATAGAAATTTTTCAGTGGCCCACGTAAACCCGTTCCCGTAGATTGTTTTAGGGAACTACTGAAACCCGTTCCAGGGAATTGTTTAGTGGAGCCTTTCTGAAACCCGTTTTTAGGGGGGGTTGTTTTAGTGGGAAATAAATGTACCTTTTTCCAAGGGTTGTTCCCGTGGAACTACTGTACCTGTTTCCAAAGGGTTGTTCATGGGAAATACTGTACCTGTTCCAGTAAATTGGGTTTAGGGAACTTTCTGTAACCCCGTTTTTCCCGGTAAAAATTTTTCAGGGAACAAATGTGCCCCGTTCCAGTAGATTTTTCAGTGGGAAATACTGTACCGTTTTTAGGTAATTTTTCATGGGAAATACTGTTTCCTTTTCCGGGAATTGTTCAAGGGGAAAAAACGTGCCCATTCCCGGTAAAAATTGGGGATGGGAAAAACTGTACCTAAATTTTAGGGAGATTTTTCAGTGGGAAATACTGTACATGTTTCAGGTAATTTTTCAGTGGAAATACTGTGGGCCCATTCCAGGTAGATTGTTCAATGGAACTACTGTTTCCCCTTTTCCCGGTAGATTGTTTAGTTTAAAATTAAAATGTACCTGTTCCAGGGGAGATTTTTTTCAGTGGGAAATACGTACCTATTCCCTTTTAAAAAATTTTTTTTCAGTGGGAAATACGTACCTGTTCCCCGGGAGATTGTTCAGTGGGAACCCACGTACCTGTTCCAGGGAAATTTTTCAGTGGGAAAACTTTTCCGTTCCCGGAGATTGTTCAGTGGGAAATACTTTAAACCCGTTTCCCGGGGGATTGTTCATGGAACAAATGAACCTGTTTTTCCCGGTAAAATTGTTCAGTGGAACTACCCGTACCTTTTTCCCGGGAGATTGTTCAGTGGAACTACTGTACCTGTTCCAGTAGATTGTTCAGTGGAACTACTGTACCTGTTCTAGTAGATTGTTCAGTGGAACTACTGTACCTGTTCCAGTAGATTGTTCAGTGGAACTACTGTACCTGTTCCAGTAGATTGTTCAGTGGAACTACTGTACCTGTTCCAGGTAGATTGTTCAGTGGAACTACTGTACCTGTTCCAGGTAGATTGTTCAGTGGAACTACTGTACCTGTTCCAGGTAGATTGTTCAGTGGAACTACTGTACCTGTTTCAGGTAGATTGTTCGGTGGAACTACTGTACCTGTTCCAGGGAGATTGTTCAGTGGAACTACTGTACCTGTTCCAGGTAGATTGTTCAGTGGAACTACTCTACCTAGTAATATTTAGGTTCAGTGATAATTATTTAGGTTCTAAAATAATTATTAAGGTTCTCCAGTTATTATTAAAGTGGCCACAAATTTTGTGGTTTGTTTGTGTTGTCGTTCGTGCTTCGTTATTTTTTTCTGATCGCATAACGTCTTTTGCAGAGTTGACGAACAACATTGTGAAGAACAAGAGGAGCGGAACAACAGAATCCAGTCCGAACTTGAGAAATTCGCGGAGAACGACAAACTCGTTCATGAACCACGGAGACCACAAGAGCGGAAGTTCGTGCGGAGTTGTGGAGGCGGAGCGGAATGCATTGCCAAAGAGCCGGAGAGAGACATCCTCAACCCGGAGTAGGAGACGGACAGAAGTGGAGGAGAGTGAGGAGACCCGGAGGGAGAGCCTGACAAGGAACCGAAGGCGGACCGAACCGGAGGAAATTGAAGAGGGTCGCAGGGAACACTCGTCGAGGATCCGCCGGAGGATAGAGATGGAGGAGAGTGAGTCGGGAAACCCGGAAAAATTTGAAATTTGAAGCGAAAGGAAAAGCAAAGCAGGAAAAGAGCGAGGGGAGACAAAAAAGCCACGAACGAGAGGGTCGCGGGGAAACCTCTCTAGGATCAGAAGGGAATAGAAGCGGGGGGAGAGGAAAAAGAGAAAAAGGGAACCGGGGTGAGGAGAAGCAAAAAGAAAAGCGGAAATTGAAGAACATGAAAAGAGAAAAGAAGAGAATCCCAAACTGGAAATAAAAGGAAAGATTGAAATTGATAATGAAGCGGAATTCAGTCTGAATAAAAAATTCCAGGACAAAAAGAAAGGAGCGGTGGAAACGAACAAAAAGCCAACGAAAATTTTTCCCGAGACCCTCCGGGCGAAAGCGGAAAAATTCAGGACACTGACCCCGGACGAGCGGAAAAGAGAAGAGAGGCCCGAGGGACCACGGGGGAGTGGAAAGTCGTCGACTCCGGAACAAAACTCCGGTAGTTTCTGTAGCAAATTGGTAGTTTTCGGGAGGGGGGGAGGCGGAAAAACCTTCCGGAAAAGGAAGGACCCGGGGGAAACCCGCCATCGATACAGGGTCGAAGTGCAAAATAAAGCAACAAAAAAGCAAGAATGTTCACGTTTCAAAACAAAAAGACACAAGAAAAAAAACCCAGGGGGGGGGGACAACCAAAAAAAAAAAGAAGTAGGAGAGGAACGAGAAGAGAAGGGAAATAGCAAAAACAAAAAAGTCGAAGCGGAAATTTAAGGCAGGGGCCTTTAAACCCTTTGGCCAAAAAACCTAGGGCCCATGACCCCCTAGAGGGTGCAGCAGCAGGGTCTACGCAACGTGTCTACTGGAATTACCTTCGAGAACGAGGATGAGCAAGCGGAAAAGGAAGAGGAGGAGGAGGATGGGTGAGTATTAGTTAAAATATCAAAAACCCTGTGGAAAGGACTTGACCCATGTTTAAATGGATTGACCTCAAACAACCCCCCCGGGGAAGGGGATCCTCCTACTAAGTGTAAAATGGAAACCTATACTTGTTTTACATAATGGTAGGATTGCTGGTGTCTTTTTTCTGTCTCATAAACATGCAAGATTTCAGGTACGTCTTACTACTTCTACTTACACTTAGGTCACACTACACATGCATGTACAAGCATATATATACACACTCCTCTGGGTTTTCTTTTATTTTCTTACTAGTTCTTGTTCTTGTTTATTTCTATCTCAATGCAGAAGTAGAACAGAATTCTTCCTCAGCCATGCATGTTGTAAGAGGCAACTAACATGCTGGCAGCAAGGTGCTAGTAACCCCTTCTCCTGTATATATTATTAAAAGTTCAAAAGAAAAACTTTCATTTTTCTTTTTAGGTCACCCTACCTTGGTGGGATATAGCCTGTTTGTTGAAAAAAAAAGATACAGTATGTGTAATATATTTTATTTTTTATTATTATTATCACACTGGCCGATTCCCACCAAGGCAGGGTGGCCCGAAAAAGAAAAACTTTCACCATCAGTCACTCCATCACTGTCTTGCCAGAAGGGTGCTTTACACTCCAGTTTTTAAACTGCAACATTAACACCCCTTCTTCAGAGTGCAGGCACTGTACTTCCCATCTCCAGGACTCAAGTCCGGCCTGCCGGTTTCCCTGAACCCCTTCATAAATGTTACTTTGCTCACACTCCAACAGCACGTCAAGTATTAAAAAGCATTTGTCTCCATTTACTCAATTACTGGGAACGTAAGCGGGAGAGATACATGATTATATATACTTGGAAAGTCCTAGGGGGATTAGTACGCATGCCTGCTGGAAGTCCAAGCCCCTCGCACACAAAACCTCCTTTACCCCCTCCCTCCAACCTTTCCTAGGCCGACCCCTACCCCGCCTTCCTTCCACACAGACTGATACACTCTTGAAGTCATTCTGTTTCGCTCCATTCTCTCTACATGTCCAAACCACCTCAACAACCCCTCCTCAGCCCTCTGGACAACAGTTTTGGTAATCCTGCACCTCCTCCTAACTTCCAAACTACGAATTCTCTGCATTATATTCACACCACACATTGCCCTCAGACATGACATCTCCACTGCCTCCAGCCTTCTCCTCGCTGCAACATTCATCACCCACGCTTCACACCCATTTTAAGACGTTGGTAAAAAATATACTCTCATTACATTCCCCTCTTTTGCCTCCAAGGACAAAGTTCTTTGTCTCCACAGACTCCTAAGTGCACCACTCACTCTTTTTCCTCATCAATTCTATGATTCACCTTTATCTTCATAGACCCATCCGCTGACACGTCCACTCCCAAATATCTGAATACATTCACCTCCTCCATACTCTCTCCCTCCAATCTGATATTCAATCTTTTATCAATCCCTAATCTTTTTTTTACCTCATAACCTTACCTTTCCTGTATTCACCTTTAATTTTTTTCTTTTGCACACCCTACCAAATTCATCCACCAATCTCTGCAACTTCTCTTCAGAATCTCCCAAGAGCACAGTGTCATCAAAAAAGAGCAGCTGTGACAACTCCCACTTTTGTGTATGATTCTTATCTTTTTAAATCCACGCCTCTTGCCAAGACCCCCCGCATTTACTTCTCTTACAACCCCATCTATAAAAATTTTAAAAAAACCACGGTGACATCACACATCCTTGTCTAAGGCCTACTTTTACTGGGAAAAAATTTCCCTCTTTCCTACATACCCTAACTTGAGCCTCACTATCCTCGTAAAAACTCTTCACTGCTTTCAGTAACCTACCTCCTACACCATACACTTGCAACATCTGCCACATTGCCCCCCTATCCACCCTGTCATACGCCTTTTCCAAATCCATAAATGCCACAAAGACCTCTTTAGCCTTATCTAAATACCATATATCTCACATGAAGAACGAGTAAATGAGAGAGGAGAGAAATGTGGAGTTATGTAAATAAGCAGACGAACGCGTCTGGTTTTGGTTCATACACGTAACATCTCATATTTATGTTAATTTATTCTGCTGTGTGGTGTATTTATCCTGTTTATATGTTACATAGCTTGTTTATTATATAATTTTGAAAAATATCATAGATGGATTAATGAAAATGTTTATATTAACGTAATGTACGACATTTAATGCGCCTCATAGTGATTATTATTGCGTATTATTATTATTATTATTATTATTATTATTAATATAGCTTCCTCAAGACTAATAAGACACTCTTAGTGATTTTAATGTGTACCTGCACGCCAGCACAGTGTGTAAGTTTATTTAGGTACAGGTACATATAAGTATAATTATCGGAGTACAGTGGAACCTCGGTTTTCGTATGCCGTAGGTTTTATGCAAAACTATAGTTATTCTCTATAAAATGTATTTTATGTTAATATTTCCCATAAGAAATAATGTAAATCCAATTACGTACCCCATTTTATAAAGAATAAGTATAGTTTTACATACAACCTAGGACATACGAAAACCCAAGTTCCACTGTACGTACATACAAAACATGAAATAACCTTAAAACACTTGAAATTTTGGGAATTTTCCAGACATGATGGAGAGACACGGAGCTCACAGAGAATGTAAACAAACCGGATGGGGTGCGGTCACTGTATTAGAAAGTCAGGTGGGGGGAACCGTATATTGAATTTTGGTCATAATTTGAAATGTCCGGACTAGCGGAACGCTGTAAGGCAAAACGCTGTAAAGTGAGGTCCTGCTGTATATTGTAATAAACAGAATAGAAGATATCAGCTCTAATGTACATTATTTAGGTATGCATACTGGTCAGAGAGCCCATCATAAGTCCGAGTTGTCGGTAAACGAATACGTCGCAAAGTGAGGAGAGGTTGTATATACTATATATATACCGGTAAACATAAAAAACAATTTAAAAAAACAGAAAAAATCTTGGCGTCAATAGTAAAATGTAAATATCATCGGTGCTTTTATACCATTGTTAACTGATCAGTTTTTCACCTTAAATACATTTAATGTCATACACCTACCATCCGACATACGGCCATTTGACTTACAACCATGTTTTCTATGCCAAATTTCTGGGAAATAAACAACTGCGTGTGTTGTACACAGTGTTTATCCTAAACCTTACAGTATAAAATACAGTACTAACTGCATAAAAAGTAATGTAAAAAATGAAATACCAAAATAAAACAATAAAATAAAGTCATTACAAAAATGTGATGTTGATATTCAGTAGTAAGGTTCAACTTACGTCCATTTTGACTTAGGACCGGTTGGTCGGAACCGAACTCGGTCATAAGTCGGATGGTACCTGTATTAAACTAGTCGTATATATACTATTAGACGTTAAAAACAATAAAAAATGGAAAACAAATGTATTTTGGCACCAGTTGATAAATGTAAACATCGCTGCCGATTTTCATTTTTACCTTGAAATATGTCTAATATCATAAACATTAAACATTAAAACATTAAACATTAAAAAAAAAATCGGAACAACAAACATTTTGGTGTCGGTTGTGAAATGTAAACATCATTGGCACTTTTACGCTGCTGTTACCATTTGGTGGTCATTTTTCACCTTGAAATGCGTCTAATTCCATAATTAACTAGTACATATATATATACTGTTGAACATTAAAAGCAATTAAAAAATGGAAAACAAGCGTATTTTGGCGTCAGTTGTAAAACATAAACATCGCTGGTGCTTTTATGCCGCTGTTGCCAATAAATGATAATTTTTACCTTGAAATGCATTTAATATTGTAATAAACTAGTAAATATTACGTTAAACATTAAAAACTAAGAAAACATAAAAATGCATTTTGGCGTCGGCTGTAAAACGTAACCATCGCTGGCGCTTTACGCCGCTGTTACCAACCAGTGATCACTTTTCCTGCCAACTACAATGCACTAAATTGTAAGTTTTATCAGATTCCATTCAGTTTAGCTTTATTTGGTTCAGAAAAATGAACTCTATCAAACTTTAGGAAAAAGATTTTTTTTTTTTCAAAATCTTGCCACACAACCAGGATTTTTTTTTTTTGGCCCATTTGCCACAGCTAAGTGGTTAATATAGAGAAAATTCCATGATTTTTATTGTTTCACTTTCTTATTCTAGCAAAAGTTCCTATTATTTTGTATTTTTTTCATTGTTCTATCTTAACATAAGAGCAAAAGTTCCATTATTTTTGTTTTTTCATTTAATCTAGTAAAAGTTTATGATGTTTTATTTTTTCACTTTGATGTTCAAAATAAGTTTATTTTTAATAATGTCTTCCTTCCTACTACTAGACTGGACAACACAGAGCTGGAAATGCCTCACCTGGAGCCCATGATTGACATAGAGAAGCGGCCAGATGGTACACAGCACAACCAGGTAAGTTCGTGAGAGTCGAGTTAATGAATAGAAATAACCCAAGCGTAGAGAAAGAAACTTATGATGTTATTTCGGTCCTACTTGCTTCAGTAACCACAGGTGCCTCCTGACTTACGATATTTGACTGCAATATTTCGACTTTATGATGGTTTGACTTTACCATATTTCAATTTGATGCTTCAAAAGCATATACAGGTGCTCCTCGACTTATGATGGTTTGACTTACAATATATCAACTTTACAATCTGTACAAGAACAGTATACAATACCAACAAGATGAAGATTTAGGCATATGTGCAACATCTGGGTATCTTTACTGTAGACGCTTTGCCATCCAGTGGCTTTATCAATACAGATTCTAGGACATAATTTGAAGACAGTAGAACTATATACAAAAGATGAGGTAATCAGTCCCTCAGCCTTGGAGTTGGTGTGAAGAGCACCGTAGTTGTGTAGATTCTGGAGCAGAGGCAAGGAGGCTGGCACTTATATACTAATTGTCAGGTGGAAAGAGGACGGGTAGTAGATGAGGGCATAGTCACTGGTAGGCGGGATTTCCCATTGGAAGTAGGTCATACCCAGAGGGGTGGGCAAGTTGTAGTAGTAGTTGTCGTAGCCTTTGCTCCAGAATCTTCATGACTACAGTGCTCTTCATACCAACTCCAAGACTGAGGGACTGATTACCTCATCTTCTGTATATAGTTCTAATGTCTTCAAATTATGCCCTAGAATCTGTATTGATAAAGCCACTGGATGGCGAAACGTCTACAATAAAGATACCCAGATGTTGCACACATGTCTAAATCTTCAACTTCACAATTGTTCAATCTACAATATTTCAACTTTACGATGGTTCAACTTAAAATATTTCAACTTTACAATGGTGCAGCAAAAATTACTTTGGAGGTGAATCTTAAGATAATTACCCAGCATGAAGGCAGCAAGTCCCTAACTTGTATTCATTTATTGACTTTTCAATACTGGTATTTAGTTACAGTAATTTTTTGTTTATTGACTTATTCAGTGACATTAGTTATTTATTGACTTAGTATTTATTTAGCATATCGTATTCATAATTGACTTACAATATTTTCAACTTACGATATTTTCTACTTACAATGGGTTCGTCGGAATGTGACCCCATGATAGTTAATGGTCTAAGTCAGACTGAAACGTCGATATAAGCTCCTCTCTCCTATGTGCGGGTTATTTGTGTATTGTTCCAGTCATGGTATTGTGACTTTTTATTGTTTAAGTGATACACCGAAGTGTTGACATTTGTCATGAAGCTACTTCAGTGCACCGTGTGCACACTGTGTTCACTTTTAAGTCGATATATGGGGATGAAATGCAGTAGAACCCCCTTATTTGCGGATTCAGTTTCCGTGGTTTCAGTTATCCACGGTTTACTGTGGAATGTAAGTAAGCCTTCAGTTTTGCTTAATAATAATGGGGACAAAGCACAAAAGTAGTGATGGTGACAGTTGTTCAAAGTCTAAGAGAAGTTGTGAAGTTCTTCCCATCAGTGAAAAGTGATAATTCTTCACTTATTGTGTGTAATTTATCACTTATACTTTATCATAGCTATATATATATAAACCAAAAATAACTTAGTGTTCACTACTATCCAGGGTTTCTGAGATCCATGGTAATTCTTGGAAGGTATCTCCCATGGATACCAGGACACTACTGTGTATTCATTTTTCCTTTTTTTTTAACATAACAATTTGCTAGTATCATTAGGATACTTGGTGGGAAAGTAAGCAACTCAAATTTCATTGTAGCAACAACCCACCTCAGCGCTGATGTTGCAGTAGTGTTGCCACAGCATCCTTGAAATCGTTAAACTTGTAAATTACTCTTAAAATACCATTAAAAAAAGCTATAGGCTTTTTTTTTTTTGTACCTAAGAATATTTTCTTCCATGTAAACTACATTACCTTTGTATTGCAGAAAGTAGTATATTATTTGTATTTGGTTAGTGGTACACGTTACAGTGAACATGTTAGTATGAGATGCGTCATGTTAGTGTGAAATGTGTCATGTTAGTTGTTGACTTGTACAGTCATTGGAGATGACAGTATCACTACTGTCATGTCAGTGTCATGCGTGTCGTGTCAGTTGTCGACTTGTAGCTGACAGACAAGGACGATGACAAATTAGAAAGCCTATTTGATCCTGTGATCAATTACATTATTCAACTTTGGTTAATATATTTTCCTCTCTGTGTTTTTACAGTCGACAGAAGATGATAAGAAAGATGAGGATAGCAAATCAGAAAGCCTATTTGATCCTAGGAGTGATTATATTTCCACTTCGGATACTGAGAGCAAGATGAACGAGGGCGACCATCGTTCGCTCGTCAGGAAGCGAGGCTGGCCTAAGGGCGTGCCACGGGGGCCTAAGGGCGTGCCACGGGGGCCTAAACACCCGACTCGTGGTAAGGGCCGAGGCCTGAGTAGGCCTCCTGGACGCGGCCGGGGCAGGCCTAAAGTAAGTTATTGGAGCTCTGAAATTGTTGCGTATTGTTTTTGATTTGCATGTTGCAATAGTGTATGCGATAGAGGGCAGCACTCTATAGCATAGAGACCAGCACTATACAGGGGGTCCTTGACTTACAGTGGGGTTATATTCCGACAAACCCATCATAATTCAAAAATATCGTCAGTTGTATATAGCATTGGTTGAAAATATCTTCAGTTGAAAAAATCGTAAGTCGAATATGAATGTGATATGCTGTATAAATAAGTAAATGAATAACTGCTGTCACTGAATAAGTCAGTAAACAAATAGTTACTGTAGCTAAATATTGTAAATTGAACCATCGTAAAGTTGAAATATTGTAAGTTGAACCATCGTAAAGTTGAAATCTTGTAAGTTGAACCATTGTAAAGTTGAAATATTGTAAGTTGAACCACCGTAAAGTTGAAATATTGTAAGTTGAACCTCCGTAAAGTTGAAATATTGTAAGTTGAACCTCCGTAAAGTTGAAATATTGTAAGTTGAACCATCGTAAAGTTGAAATATTGTAAGTTGAACCATTGTAAAGTTGAAATATTGTAAGTTGAACCATCGTAAAGTTGAAATATTGTAAGTTGAATCGGTAGTTCACTTACAATATTTCAACTTTACAATGGTGCAGCAACAATTACTTTGGGATGAAACTTAAGATAATTACCCACATGAAGGCAGCAAGTTCCTAACTTGTATTCATTTATTCACTTTTTAATACTGATATTTAGTTAGTTACAGTAATTATTTGTTTATTGACTTATTCACTGACAGTAGTTATTTATTGACTTATTGATTTAGCACATCATATTTGACTTATGATATATTAAACTTACAATATTTTCAATTTATAATATTTTCAACTTAAGATAGTTTAAACTTATGATACAGTAGACCGTCATTTAGCAGGAGTTTATTTGGCACAATTCGGGTATAGCACGATTGAAGAATTGCGGCACAATTTTATATGACACTTCGTTAAAATCAGTTTAACACGGTTCAGTTTGTGGGAAAGAAAAAAAAATTCCCTTTTCCTCAAGCGGCCGCCTTGTTATGGATCAGCGGGTGAGACCTCCCGCCATCCCCTGCCAGCCCCCTACACCACCCCACCGTCCTAGCAATTTGTAGTTCATACGTGTCTAGTCCTTCCTCTCTGCTACAAGCTAGCTGTTTTTTGAATTTTTTTATCTTTTAATTACAGTGGACCCCCGCTTTACGATCACCTCCCAATGCGACCAATTATGTAAGTGTATTTATGTAAGTGCGTTTGTACGTGTATGTTTGGGGGTCTGAAATGGACTAATCCAATTCACAATATTCCTTATGGGAACAAATTTGTTCAGTACTGGCACCTGAACATAATTTGGAATGAAATAATATCGTAAACCGGGGGTCCACTGTACTATATCTTGTATCTGCCAAGCAATCATGACACCCAGTAGGCACACCAGTCTTGCTCAAAATGGCATGAAAAGGTATAAGCATTTAAGTCTTAGAAACAAGAAACAAGATATTAGACAAGACATAACCTGTCGCCTTAATAAAGTGTTACTTTGTAAACATGAAAAGAGGTAAACATAGGTTTGTGTGACTGACTTACTGAGTGACTGACTAACACTTAACTGAATAACTTATTTGACTTACTGACTGAATGACTTGACTTACTGACTTGACTGAATGACTGACTTGACTGACTTACTGAATGACTTGACTGACTTCCTGAATGACTTGACTGACTGACTTACTGAATGATTTGACTAAATACCTTATTGAATGACTGACCGACTTGACTGACTTACTGACTAACTTACTGAATGAGACTGACTGACTTGACTGAATAACTTACTGACTTGACTGACTGATTTGATGACTTAAGTTAGAAACTCCAATACAACCATCGACTTAGTACCAGAATCTCTACTATCCACCTCAGCCCAGTAGGGCCACAGCATAACTCTACACTCTCTTCACAATCATCCATAAAGACCAGCACCCATAATTAAAGGTAAGAAATACTATTATTTCTGTTAAATTTATAGTCTTAAGCAGTAAAAAGAACATAATACATCACAACAGTGAGTTACAATTGCACGTTCACTTTTATTTCTGTAATATGTGGAGGCCAAAAAAAGTTGTTTGGCTTTTTTGGGGCTCCCAGGAATGTAACCCTATTTTTCCCATAAGCTCTTCAGTTCATCTAACACGGTTTTACCTAACACGCCATTTTCAGGAACGTAACTGCCGTGTTAACCCTTAAACTGTCCAAGCAGATCTACGTTCACATGCATAGTGCTCCAAAAGTAGATCTGTGTTTTTTTACATATTTTCAAATATGTATTAAAAAAAAAAAATGTAGATCAAAGTTTTTTTAACACTTTTTCCAATGTAAAAAAAGAAAAGAAGATCTACTTTTTTTACATACTTTCAAATGTTGAAAAAAACGTAGATCTATGTTTGGACAGTTTAAGGGTTAAATGACGGTCTACTGTATATTCAATTTCCACATTTTTAACTTCGATGGATTCAACAGAACATAACTCCATAGTAAGTTAAGGACCCCCGTAATAATTTTATCTGCAAGTGATACGTAACCCTAACTTGAGCCTACAATGGCAATAACTAATTGATTACGTATACAGTGGAACCTCGGTATACAACTAGCTCCCTTCTCGAACTAAGCTCAGCACTCGACAAAACAAATACTGCCTGCCAGAACTTTGCTGTAAACTATTTTCATGTTTCTTCACATTTTTTGGTGTTTTTTGTATCTGTATAAATAAGTCACCATGGGGCCTATGACGATTAGTGATAACAGCCGACCAAACAGAAAATTGGTTGGGAAGAACTTGTTTGATACTCAAACGGACCGGCACTCGAACAGCCTTCTGGAATGATTTTAGATCATTTACCGAGGTTCCGCTGTATTTATAAAGACAATAGGGACGTACAAACAAGTTAAGGTATTACAAAAACAAGCAGGTAGGACGTCAATTTATAAAAAGGAATTAGTTGGTTAGTTAGGCCTAGTCTGTCCGTAATGCTCATGTGTGCTAGTGGCTTTCTTTGTGTTTAACAATATTATATGTAAACCACAGTTTGTATACTTTGCAAAGAAATCAAATTTTGATGTTTTGTGGACACTGCAGTAGGCCTGCTGGCCCAAACTAGGCAGGTTCTTCTCTAAAGTCCACTTGTCCAACCTTGCCTTTATGTTGTAGCTCACATCATAGTGAGGAATTATTGCATTTTCTGGCATTTAAGGTTCGCATGTGTTACGAGAAATACAACTACAGCCTCTCCTCACTTAACGACGGAGTTCCGTTCCTAAGACCACATCGGTAAATTAATTCATTGCTAAGTGAGGAGCAAACAATGATGGTAGTGAGTTTGTGTCGACTATCTTTAATATTGTTTTAATGTCTCCTTTGCACCATTTATATCATTTTTAGTATATTTTTATGTTTATACAGCAGTGTGCTGTATGTTGTGATAAACAGAATAGAGGAAATCAGCTCTAATATACATTATTTAGGTAGCCATATTGGTCAGAGAGCTCGTCGTAAGTCTGAGTCAACGGTAAACGAGTACGTCGCTAAGTGAGGAGAGGCTGTATAGTAGGACCACCATATTGGTTTCCATGGTTTCAGTTATCCACGGCTTACTGTGGCCTGAAAATAACTCTTAATTTTGCTTAATAATAATAAAAATAATAAATACCAAAGCACAAAAGTAGTGATGGTGACAGTTGTTCAAAGTCTAAGAAAAGTTGTGAAGTTCTTCCCATCAGTGAAAATGTGATAATTCTCCTCGGATTGTGCATAATTTATCAATTATACTTTATCATGGCCATGTATATAAACCAAAAATTGCTTAAATATACTGTTCGCTACTACCCAGGGTTTCTGGCATCCATGGTAGTTCTTGGAAGGTATCCCCCTCCAGATACCAGGACAATACTGTGTATTGAACTACAGGTCCAATTATGATTGCATACCTGTAACCCAAAGTGTATACTTGAGTCTCACCTTGTGTACATAAGGCGCACAATCATATAAGATATACAGTGGACCCCCGGTTAACGAACTTTTTTCATTCCAGTAGTATGTTCAGGTGCCAGTACTGACCGAATTTTTTCCCATAAGGAATATTGTGAAGTAGATTAGTCCATTTCAGACCCCCAAACATACACGTACAAACGCACTTACATAAATACACTTACATAATTGGTCGCATTTGGAGGCGATCGTTAAGCGGGGGTCCACTGTATAATGTGATGTTTCCAAGCAATTGCAATGTAACATTAGTAAACAACTGCGTAAGACTGGAAGGTTTCAGTCAGATAACGGAAAGCTCCAGCTGTGGGTCATCATATGACTAAGACCCACGTCAGGAAACACTTGCCCTGTTTCCTGATGAACCTTACCTAATCTAACCTGACCTGACCTGACCTAAACAACTGCTAAAGCATAACACAGAGTCTACCCATGACCCTTATCTTGAGAATGCAAGGTGCTGGATGATTTCCCAAGATTTTCTTAAAAAAAAAAAAAAGACGCATTTTATGTCGGAAAATATGATAAGTAAGTCATGTGTACTACCTGACTACTCCCCAGGATGCAACCCACAGCAGTTGACTAACACCCAGGTGCCTATTTATCGAAGGTGAACAGGGGCAGTAGGTGCTAGGACTAACATCCAGGTGCCTATTTACCGAAGGTAAACAGGGGAAGTAGGTGCTGGGATTAACCCCCAGGTGCCTATTTATCGAAAATGAGCAGGGACAGTAGGTGCTAGGAGATTTGCCTGTACAAATCATAAAATACTAAGTATATGCTGTGCTTAATATCAGTTAATCTGATATTCAGTCTCCATGCAGGTCATTATTGTAATTATTATTATTGTTGTTATTATATGTTCAGTAAAAATGTAACAGGTTTATAAATTAAAAATTGTCCTTTGCAGTTCAATGGAGACCAGAAGCCTTCTGCAATGGATTCCGCTGAGTTGCAGGATGGTTTGCAAGAGGATCCTGAGCAGTTGAACACAGCAGAAGACCTGTTGATGGCTGAGGATCACCTGGAGGAAATGGATGGTCAGCTGGACATGGGGGAAAATGACCCGGATGCAGCGGACAACTGGATGGAGATGCCCGACGACAAAATGGAGGTAGCAGATGGCAAGTTGAGCATGGCGGAAAGTGAGCCAGGACAGAGAGACCAACAGGCAGAAGAAACGGAGAACCAAACACACACCAAAGACAATCTGTTACAAGCCGCCGAAAATCGCTCTGAAAAGAGCGAGAACGAACTGGAGAAAGTCGTTCCTGTCCCGGAGGCCAAATCCCCGAATGAACAGGCAGAGAACGTTCTTCGCGACGGCCAGAACAGAGCAGGGGGCCAGGAGGAAAGAACGGAAGAGAAGAACGAGGAGGGGAAAGTGTGCGAAGACAATTGTTCATTGGAAAAGAATAGTGACAGCAGGAACATAGATGGAAATGAAGAAGGGGAGAAGAATAGTGATGTAGTGCAAGGTTTACCTGATCGTGATAGTAGGAGGGAGGAAGTTAAAGAGAGAGAGGAAGTTAAAGAGAGGGAGGAAGTTAGAGAGAGGGAGGAAGTTAAAGAGAGAGAGGAAGTTAAAGAGAGAGAGGAAGCCTCTCATAAACACTTAAGTGATGGAAAGGATTCAGAGGGACAGGAAGATGAAATGGAGGTAGAAAAAGAGAATCATGATCCTGCTAAGGTAATGGTGAATGAGAAGGAAGAAGAGGAAGCAGAAGAGGAATTGAGCGAGGCTGATAAAGCAGTGGCTAGTATTATCAATGGTACGTGCGAGGGTGTTCCCAGCGGAGATTGCTTGCAACATGAGACTTACAGTAGTCCTCCTCCAGTAGAGGAGGTTCATGAGGTTGTGGAGTGTAAAGTTGGGGATGGAAGAGTAGATGAAGCGTATCAGGAGGAGGTGACGAAGGCGGTTGAGAGTATCTGGGGCGGAACAGAAGAGCGTGATCCCACGTTGGTTGAAGATAGACCGCCGGAGATAATTGACGAACCAAAGATTCTGAGTCCTGCCCTTCCGCAGTTGAACGCCTTGCCTCTTCTTCATCCTCCTTCCCCAGTTATTCCGCCCTGTCCGTCCTCACAGTCGGAAAGTGAAATAATCCCACCTAGTCCTAATACTTTAGAACGTTCAAGATCGCCAGGATCATCTGTTCCACCTTCACCTATTCCTAGTTCACCACCACCTGCCCCTGCTCCTCCCTCACCTACTTCACCTTCTCCTGTACCATCACTCCATGCTTCAGATTCACCACTGGAGCCACCTTGTGCCCCTGCCCCTGTTACACCTAATTCCCCTCAGTCCCTGGCATCCCCTGCTTCACCTTCTTCAATTGACTCCCCTGCTTCACTACGTTCCTCCTCTCCCATCCCAGAAATTTCAGATGAGCCTATAAGACCAGCTTCACCTCCTCCATTAGGCCTTTCACCACGGCCGGTTAGTCTTGAGGATAGCCAGTCATCATGTCAGTTGTCAGTAGTTGGGGAGACTGTTGCTGACACCCCTATACTGTCAGCAGTATCTAGTCATCACGTCCAGGAGAAGCACAATAGCAAAGATGAACAGAGGGAACCTGTGATAGATGACCTGCATCGGCAACCAGAAGGTCAACAAGAGCCCTCCAAGGAGCATTCCCGGGAATGTGAAGGTTCTGTGAGTGAGCCCAGGGTTCAGACCACAGTTCCTGGAGTGCCGGACACACTCAGTGCAGCCGGTCGTCAAGCGGAGAACCTGGCCTCGCAGATGGAACAAACATACGAACCAGCAGATGCACCGAAAGTTGATAATCATCCGACGGGCCAAGAGGCTGCGCACACACATGACCTGACATTAGAAACCGGTGATGGTCCAAAAACGGTTAATTCATCAGCTGGAAATACACCACCATCGTCCTGTGGGTCTACTAATACCACTTCTGTGATTACTCGACAAGCTCCCACTCTGACCCCTCCACACCAGCAAGAAGTTAGCAGTATGGGCGTCTATACCCCAGATTCCACTACAAATTCCGTTCATTCAATGCACGGATATTCGCAGAGTGAATTTGATGTATCGCAGCTTGGTATCGAGTCCCCAACATCGATATCAAGTAATGAAATGGCCCATTCTGTGGAAGCACCTCAACAAGCCTCCACACCACAGAGTTATAATGATTGTGCTCAGATTTCTGGCCAACAGGTTCAGCCTACCACTCCCACCCATGTACAGCCTACCACTCCCACCCATGTACAGCCTACTACCCCAACTCTCACACAGCCTACTACTCCAACTCCCCCACACATCGCAAGAACCACTCCAACGCCCTCTCCTATACTACCACAGCCTATACCACAACCACAGGCAATTATCACACAGGCTGCCGCTCAAACCGTTCCAACAATAGGGGTTGTAACGCTGCCACACACACATACGCATCAAGCACCAGCTAAACACCAGCCATCCAAACAGCGCCACATACAACCTAAACCACCTGCCCAACCGCAAACACAGACGGCTTCCACAAGCTCCCGGCCACCTTCAAACCTCAGCACCCAGCTGTCTCCCCAGTCTGTTGCAGCCATGCATGTTTCCAGTCAAGTGATGACGCAGCGGATGGTTGCGTCTACATCCCATCCATCGTCAAGCCTAGGCCAGCACCATCCCATGTCCTACCATCCTCATGGTGCACACACTCCACACCCTCCACGCACCCCACATGTCACACACACACACTCGCAGATGCAAAACTTTGGACATCATCCAAACTATATGATGGGACCGCACCAGCAGATGCTAGGGCATCATGGATCAATGATCAGTCAAGGCTACCTACCCCAGGCATCTGTAACTACATACGCTCAGGCACACACACCCGCCCATTCGTCATCATACATGACCTCTGTTATACAGTCACGTATGGGAGGTCCAAGTACTCAGCAGGGAGCGAGTCATAACTCAACATCGACTCAACGCACCGGTCAGAACTCGTCGTCCGCTTCGTCGTCGCAGCGTTCAGGCCATGGAGGTAGTTCCAGTGTGTGTGGCCCTTCCGGGGTTAATTACCACTTTCTTAATTCCAGTCCCCCAGGGCCGTCACCCACGCCGACACCCATGGCTAGCGAACAACACCACCCTGGGGGAGCACAGGGAAGTGCATCATCATGTAGTATAGCACGGTTACAGCAGCTTACAAACGGCATTATGGACATTGTTCCGCCACCTCCGTGTGCGGGCGTGACGCCACCTCCACACACAGTGTCGCCTCCACCATCTCACACTGTCACTCCGCCTCCTGCTGTCACCGCTGCAGCTGCTGCCGCCCAGCGGAACATGACACCACCTATCTCCAACCTACAGACGCAGGTGCCATTGCCGTACAGCAAATACAAGTCACACCAAGCGGCAGCAGCGGCCCAGATGTCATCTAATATGATGGCTCCAGCCATGTTGGGCTACCAAGTGAACGGTTACCGCATGCCGGGCCAGCCGGGTGCCATGTCGCCCCTCAACACATCGTACCTGACCAATCCTTCGTTCATGAATCAGCAGCTGCCAATGCAGATGATGAACATGCATCCCCAAGCTGCTGGCCAGTACCAGGACCCGCGATCACAACCCCAGAACACCATGTACCCACCATACTCCTACATGCCACCATTACAGCTCAATGGCACCATGCGTCGATAGTCCCAAGACTTCAATCCCAGTATTCTATTCATGGTGCTTATTACCAAGTAGCAACTGTCAGTGTTAAGTGTAATGCGTCAGTAAAGGCTGTGCTGAATTCATTTACTGACAGGATATAAGACTTACGCATGTCAGCGTCAAGTGTAAAGTGTCAGTAAAGGCTGTGCTGAATCCAGTTACTGATAGAATCTGAGACTTATGCAAGACTAGGCAATATTTTGACTAGTTAAATAAGGGTGTGTGATCCTAGACAACAACACTGACTCTAAAGTGTTGCTAAAAAAACCTTGAACATCATGTAACTTGAACACAAAGATTTTTTAGTGAAAATTCATATTTTTTGGGTTTGTTGTGAGAGCTATATTTTAGATACTTATTTATGGTGTTTATACATGGTTTAAGAAAGAATGCCAAGTTATCTAACTTGGCAACTTTGATGGTCAAGTTAATTTAGAAGCTCCATTTTACGTGGAGGGACACTAGAGAACAAAATGTTGATAGCTGTATTTTGTGGTGAACCTGGCAAGCTGGGTTCAGTTTAATTGAGTCAGGGGTGAACCCTGATTTTCATCTGAGTACAAAGTGATCTATCGTTTAATTGACTGGGAAGTGTGCTTAATTGTTACACCAGAATGTTATTGAAATTTTAGCCGTGGAAAGCAGCCGTAGTCTTTTACTTTGTGATACTGAGGTAGGCCTGAGGCCTACTCAGCATGTTTTAGTGGTGGAAGGAAAGTGGCATTTTGGGCCCTTTTTCCAGTGAATATCATTATTTTTGAGTATTTATATACTACAACAATACAGTGTAAGGTAAGTGAACTGCGTCTGCTGGTAGAGCACAGTCAAGTCTTCTTTCCTGATTTTCCCGTCCCGTTACAGAGGCTTTTTCGTTTGTATTGTAGATAAATTTGTGTAGCTTGCAGCACTCCAGTTGCATATTTTGTTTCTCACGTCACTTTTTACCAGTGGTGGAGCGGACGGTTGTAGAGAGCGGCTTGGGTGACATGTTGTAGCTGTGGTGAGGGTCCTTGTAGCTGTGGGTGTCCTTGTAGCTGTGGGTGTCCTTGTAGCTGTGAGGTCCTTGTAGCTGTGGGTGTTCTTGTAGCTGTGGGGAGTTCTTGTAGCTGTGGGGGTCCTTGTAGCTGTGGGGGTCCTTGTAGCCATGGTGGGTTCTTGCAGCTGTGAGGGTCCTTGTAGCTGTGGGGGTCCTTGTATCTTTGGGGGGTCCTTGGTTGCTGTGGGGGTCTTGTAGCTGTGGGGGGTTCTTGTAGCTGTGGGGGTCCTTGTAGCCATGGTGGGTTCTTGCAGCTGTGAGGGTCCTTGTAGCTGTGGGGGTCCTTGTAGCTATGGGGGTCCTTGTAGCTGTGGGGGGTCCTTGTAGCCATGGTGGGTTCTTGTAGCTGTGAGGGTCCTTGTAGCTGTGGGGGGTCCTTGTAGCTGTGGGGGGTCCTTGTAGTTGTGGGGGCAGAACTTCCCCTACAGTGAAGCTGCTCTCTACAACATCCTCCTCCACACCTGGTTGGCATCACGCCATTGTCACCATTGTACCACTGTACCTCTGTAGATTTTGTATTTTCAATCTATAATTCGCCTGTTTTATACTACTATGTATGTTATGTTTCCAATATGAGGGTGGTATGTGAGTGTGATTGTGGGGCTACATTCATACACTGACAGTGGGGCTGTGTTCACACTGTCTGATAGTGGGGCTGTGTTCACACTGTCTGATAGTGGGACTGTGTTCACACTGTCTGATAGTGGGGCTGTGTTCACACTGTCTGATAGTGGGACTGTGTTCACACTGTCCGATAGTGGGGCTGTGTTCACACTGTCTGATAGTGGAACTGTGTTCACACTGTCTGATAGTGGGGCTGTGTTCACACTGTCTGATAGTGGGGCTGCATTCACACTGTCTGATAGTGGGGCTGTGTTCACACTGTCTAATAGTGGGACTGTGTTCACACTGTCTGATAGTGGGGCTGTGTTCACACTGTCTGATAGCAGGGCTGTGTTCACACTGTCTGATAGTGGGGCTGTGTTCACACTGTCTGATAGTGGGACTGTGTTCACACTGTCTGATAGTGGGGCTGTGTTCACACTGTCTGATAGTGGGGCTGTGTTCACACTGATAGTGGGGCTGTGTTCACACTGATAGTGGGGCTGTGTTCACACTGTCTGATAGTGGGGCTGTGTTCACACTGTCTGATAGTGGGGCTGTGTTCACACTGTCTGATAGTGGGGCTGTGTTCACACTGATAGTGGGACTGTGTTCACACTGATAGTGGGGCTGTGTTCACACTGTCTGATAGTGGGACTGTGTTCACACTGTCTGATAGTGGGACTGTGTTCACCACTGATTGGTGGGCTGTGTCCACACTGTCTGATGTGGGATGGTTCACACGTCTGATAGTGGGCTGTGTTCACTGTCTGATAGGTGGGCTGTGTTCACACTGTCTGATGAGTGGGCTGTGTTCACATCTGATAGTGGGGCTGTGTTCACACTGTCTGATAGTGGGCTGTGTTCACACTGATAGTGGGGCTGTGTTCACACTGTCTGATAGTGGGACTGTGTTCACACTGTCTGATAGTGGGACTGTGTTCACACTGATAGTGGGGCTGTGTTCACACTGTCTTATAGTGGGGCTGTATCCACACTGTCTGATAGTGGGGCTGTGTCCACACTGTCTGATAGTGGGATTGTGTTCACACTGTCTGATAGTGGGACTGTGTTCACACTGTCTGATAGTGGGACTGTGTTCACACTGTCTGATAGTGGGGCTGTGTTCACACTGTCTGATAGTGGGACTGTGTCCACACTGTCTGAAAAGTGAGACTGTGTTCACACTGATAGTGGGGCTGTGTTCACACTGTCTGATAGTGGGGCTGTGTTCACACTGTCTGATAATGGGACTGTGTTCACACTGTCTGATGGTGGGATTGTGTCCACACTGTCTGATAGTGGGGGCTGTGTTCACACTGTCTGATAGTGGGACTGTGTTCACACTGTATATGTGGGGATTGTGTTCAACTGTCTGATAATGGGGGCTGTGTTCACACTGTCTGATAGTGGGACTGTGTTCACACTGATAGTGGGGCTGTGTTCACACTGTCTGATAATGGGACTGTGTTCACACTGTCTGATAGTGGGACTGTGTTCACACTGTGATAGTGGGGCTGTGTTCACACTGTCTGATAGTGGGACTGTGTCCACACTGTCTGAAAAGTGGGACTGTGTTCACACTGATAGTGGGGCTGTGTTCACACTGTCTGATAGTGGGGCTGTGTTCACACTGTCTGATAGTGGGACTGTGTTCACACTGTCTGATGGTGGGATTGTGTCCAAACTGTCTGATAGTGGGGGCTGTGTTCGCACTGTCTGATAGTGGGACTGTGTTCACACTGATAGTGGGGCTGTGTTCACACTGTCTGATAGGGGGACTGTGTTCACACTGTCTGATAGTGGGACTGTGTTCACACTGTGATAGTGGGACTGTGTTCATACTGTCTGATAGTGGGACTGTGTTCACACTGTCTGATAGTGGGGCTGTGTTCACACTGTCTGATAGTGGGACTGTGTTCACACTGATAGTGGGACTGTGTTCACACTGTATAGTGGGGCTGTGTTCACACTGTCTGATATTGGGGCTGTGTTCACACTGTCTGATAGTGGGACTGTGTTCACACTGATAGTGGGGCTGTGTTCACACTGTCTGATAGTGGGACTGTGTTCATACTGTCTGATAGTGGGACTGTGTTCACACTGTCTGATAGTGGGGCTGTGTTCACACTGTCTGATAGTGGGACTGTGTTCACACTGATAGTGGGACTGTGTTCACACTGTCTGATAGTGGGACTGTGTTCACACTGTCTGATAGTGGGACTGCATTCACACTGTGATAGTGGGACTGTGTTCACACTGTCTGATAGTGGGACTGTGTTCACACTGTCTGATAGTGGGACTGCATTCACACTGTGATAGTGGGACTGTGTTCACACTGTCTGATAGTGGGACTGTGTTCACACTGTCTGATAGTGGGACTGTGTTCACACTGATAGTGGGACTGTGTTCACACTGTCTGATAGTGGGACTGTGTTTACACTGTTGATGGGGCTGTGTTCTTTGTGGATGTGTGTCCACACTGTCTGATAGTGGGGGCTGTGTTCACACTGTCTGATAGTGGGACTGTGTTCACACTGATAGTGGGGCTGTGTTCAAACTGTCTGATAGTGGGACTGTGTTCACACTGTCTTATAGTGGGACTGTGTTCACACTGTAATAGTGGGACTGTGTTCATACTGTCTGATAGTGGGGCTGTGTTCATACTGTCTGATAGTTGGACTGTGTTCACACTGATAGTGGGAATGTGTTCACACTGTCTTATAGTGGGACTGTGTTCACACTGTGATAGTGGGACTGTGTTCACACTGTCTGATAGTGGGGCTGTGTTCATACTGTCTGATAGTGGGACTGTGTTCACACTGATAGTGGGACTGTGTTCACACTGTCTGATAGTGGGACTGTGTCCACACTGATAGTGGGACTCTGTTCACACTGTCTGATAGTGGGGCTGTGTTCACACTGAATGATAGTGGGGCTGTGTTCACACTGTCTGATAGTGGGACTGTGTTCACACTGTCTGATAGTGGGACTGTGTTCACACTGTCTGATAGTGGGACTGTGTTCACACTGATAGTGGGACTGTGTTCACACTGTCTGATAGTGGGACTGTGTTCACACACTGATCAGTGGGGCTGTGTTCACACTGTGATAGTGGGACTGTGTTCACACTGTCTGATAGTGGGACTGTGTTCACACTGTCTGATAGTGGGACTGTATTCACACTGTCTGATAGTGGGACTGTGTTCACACTGTCTGATAGTGGACTGTGTTCAACTCTGATATGACTGTGTCACACTGATAGTGGACTGTGTTCACACTGTCTGATAGTGGGACTGTGTTCACACCCGATAGTGGGGGGGCTGTGTTCACACTGTCGATAGTGGGACTGTGTTCACACTGTCTGATAGTGGGACTGTGTTCACACTGTCTGATAGTGGGACTGTGTTCACACTGTCTGATAGTGGGACTGTGTTCACACTGTCTGATAGTGGGACTGTGTTCACACTGTCTGATAGTGGGACTGTGTTCACACTGTCTGATAGTGGGACTGTGTTCACACTGTCTGATAGTGGGACTGTGTTCACACTGTCTGATAGTGGGACTGTGTTCACACTGTCTGATAGTGGGACTGTGTTCACACTGTCTGATAGTGGGACTAGTGTTCACACTGTTGATAGTGGGACGTGTTCACACTGTCTGATTGGGCCTGTGTTCACACTGTGATAGTGGGACTGTGTTCACACTGTGATAGTGGGACTGTGTTCACACTGTCTGATAGTGGGGACTGTGTTCACACTGTTGATAGTGGGACTGTGTTCATCACTGATAGTGTGGGACTGTGTTTCACACTGTCTGATAGTGGGACTGTGTTCACACTGTCTGATGAGTGGGACTGTGTCACACTGTCTGATAGTGGGGCTTGTGTTCACACTGTACTGATAGTGGGACTGTGTTCACACTGATAGTGGGGCTGTGTTCACACTGTCTGATAGTGGGACTGTGTTCACACTGTGATAGTGGGACTGTGTTCATACTGTCTGATAGTGGGACTGTGTTCACTGTCTGATAGTGGGACTGTGTTCACACTGATAGTGGGGACTGTGTTCACACTGTCTGATAGTGGGACTGTGTTCACACTGTCTGATAGTGGGACTGTGTTCACACTGTCTGATAGTGGGGCTGTGTTCACACTGTTGATAGTGGGACTGTGTTCACACTGTCTGATAGTGGGACTGTGTTCACACTGTGATAGTGGGACTGTGTTCACACTGTCTGATAGTGGGACTGTGTTCACACTGATAGTGGGACTGTGTTCACACTGTCTGATAGTGGGGCTGTGTTCACACTGTCTGATAGTGGGACTGTGTTCACACTGTCTGATAGTGGGCTGTGTTCACACTGCTGATAGTGGGACTGTGTTCACACTGTCTGTGGGACTGTGTTCACACTGTCTGATAGTGGGGCTGTGTTCACACTGTCTGATAGTGGGACTGTGTTCACACTGATAGTGGGACTGTGTTCACACTGTCTGATAGTGGGACTGTGTTCACACTGTGATAGTGGGACTGTGTTCACACTGATAGTGGGGCTGTGTTCACACTGTC